AAACTTTGGTTAAAAATGCAAGTGGGCAGAACAGCCATTCTGACTTGTAGAAAAATTTGCACGCCTCATATTTCACTATTTGCCATTTACCTGCAAAACACAGCTTCCTTAAACGCAATCTAAGAAAGCTTAACGTGAAATTGGGTTTAAATTCCCATTTAGTCAAAATTTTGACATTACGCATTTGCATTGAATAAACCTAAGGCAGTGCTTTAACGCATTTTTGGGGGAAAAAAGAGGATTTATTTATTTCAGCATTTTACCAGTGTGCTTGACGTAGCACCGATGCCACGACGTGGGTGCTGCAGTGAGCCAGCGGCAGCACATTGTGAATTCCGCATGTTTCCAACAGCTGTTCGCAAAACTTACTTCCTTTCCCACCAAACTCATAAATACTGCTTTTTAAACACTTGACTCTTCTTCACCTTCTCTCTCCTATTGTTGCGATGACAATGGCAGCTTGAGTGATGTCAAACAATGCCAATTTAGCTGGTGACTCCCGTCTGGAGGCAGCTTAAGCTCTTTGCTGGACCCTCATCAACGAAGCTTAGCAATATGACACATTCAAATTATTTTCTATCGAAAGTCACTCCTTTACACCCAATTTGTGGTGGAATGTTGGGAGCTTTCAACTAAGCATATTGAAGAGACTGGCAATGATCTCGTAATCTCAAAATTATTTTCGTGAACACTAATGGGACAGTTGCTTGACGGCATCGGTGTTATTGTGAAGGTTCAGTCAAAAATAGCGTTTTAAAAAAGGGATGCCCAAATTTGGAAACACTACCACCACCATCTGTTAAAGATGCTTCTCCGTTGAGGTGGAAGGGGAGTTCAATAGCCTTTCTGTTATCTCCCAGGTTAGAAAGGATTCGGTTACACCTACCTCACAAACAACACCATGCAAATGAAGCTGAGAATACTTATTCATCACAAAATTTGACAATCTGAAAGGCTAAAATCCACCCTTCATGTGGAGTTGAGTCTCATCAGAGAATACCATTTTTGTACTTTGGTAATCAAATTATCACGCATTTGGAGAGAAGAAAAGGAAGAGCCACCAGGGGGCCATCATTTTGCCACTAGCTCCCAAGTGGTGAGACCGCTTCCCCTCCTCCTCCTCATCCCCTTCTCTCGCTCAAAATTAGCTGTTCGGTCAGCTGGAGGTGTCATGGCAATTAGAAAGTCCTCACCCCAACCGATACCGTTTGCTGGCACAACGCTAGGATAGAATTATTTTTTTATTTACCTCCTCGGTATTTCAGTGCTTGATGCAAGAAAAGAATAAGCCTTTGTAAATGCCTTTTCGACCTTCCACTTTTAAACTTCACTGCCAATTTTGAAAAGCATTTACGTGAGTCCAAACAAAAACTCACAAGTGGTTCACAAAATCATTCTGCATGCAATATGAAGTTGTGGAGGCAGAGGTTAATCCTTCAGCCAGATCTGCCACGGTGTTGTTACTCCAGGAAACATTAATTTTTTAGAAAATGCACACAGTGGAGGATCAGAATACTTTAACTTGTCATTAGCTCTTTCGTGGGGGCTTTGAGCGACACGTTTGCCACACCAATTTCGTCTTCGCCCCTATGGTCAGTGCCGGCCAGCAAAGGTGTGCTGCAGGTTTTGTCGATGCTCCCACTTCATGTCCAAAATTAATTGCTTTGTCAGCCATCGTGTTGAGGGTGCTTGGCTTAAAGTCGGGAATGTGTCTTAATTTTCCAAAAATTGAAGGCATTTATACCTGTCACTATCGTGTGTTAAATGATCGTGGCAAATTAAATAACACCCTTTTGATGAAAAGCGTGTTTTAATATCTTTTTGACAAGGACTTATGATGAGTGTCGCAAGGTATTTAAACACCGCGTTTCACAAAACACCCACCGGTCCCTCTTCATACCGTCCTCTTGAGGCACATGAACGAATTCCCTTTCAATACCACCGCCTTTGGAGACTGCAAGAACCTTTAGACCATACGATCAAGTAAACATAAATAATATGGTAAAAATTGCGTTACTTGCCTGCCTAAAAATAAGTTCCACTTTAATTACAGTGCTGAGATGGAAGCGGCTTCAACTAGGTGACTTGTAACATCAGCCTGCTAAAAGAAGTATCAGAATAACAGGCTGTATCATGTAAACAATAGAATGTCGATTTGTGAGGCGGAGAAGTAACACTTTGTAAATCTTTCACATGATGTCATTCCGCATGAGCAACGCCAGACAGCATTTTCCAAAGTCAGCCAAGACCATCTCTTAAGAGTCAGCTTGATTCATAAACCGTAAAACTTAACTTTTTCATTGAGAACTGATGTTTGGCGCCTAACAAAAAAACAACCAACGATTGCAAGACGGAGGGCCTGGAGACAGCCTTGAGAGCGAATAAAAGCAAAACGCTTGGGCGACTAGAAGATGGATGGACTTTTGGCATGCTTCGACAGCTACAACACCACCCCAGTGACAAAAACCGGAACTAACAGTCAAACAATTAAGCAAACAAGGATTTGCAGAGGCTTTCGTATGTTGCACTATTTTGTACTTTTTTTTTAAATAAAGACCCTAAAGCTTACACAAAAGCAGGCGCTAAAAGAGCCTCTTTTTTGAAACTGTCGCTGAACGCTCTAGAACGAGAGGAAACCGCATTTGTCGGCCGAAGGCTGTTGCAACAATCCCACGACGTGAATTTTAGTGCGCAGATGTAACAAAACTCGGTCTTTAAATGTGGTGTGAGAGCAGCAGGCAAAAATACGGCAAAAGTTTATAAAAGCTTTGGGTGAAAAAATTTTAAAACTTTGTCCTTTTGTAGGACTGCAGTGCAGTTCTCTCCTCCTGATTGAGTTACATTAGCGTAAAGCTCAGTCGTGTCAAAAACTCGGTAAGAAATTGTGTTTTATACCTAAAAAATGTTCATTAACAGAGTGATTTAGGCTGGTTGAGTTTCATTGTTTTGCTCGACCTATTGTCTACTCTTGTCCTCCGCATGTGATCCTTAAAATCCTCCTTCCACTAGGAAACACTCCTCTGAAAAATTAGTAAGGGATAATTTTAAATAAAAGGAGTCATGTGGAGACCTTCTGGAAAGGAGATTTTTGTTTGCTCCAAGGACGTCGCATCCAGAAAGGTGTCCACAGCCATTGACAGTGAGATTGTGTGATGGTGATAGGCAAAATGGTAATTTTTTTCATTTATAAAGTTTTGTTTGTAAAAGTCCCGGTGTAAGCTCAAAGAAAGATAGTTTGAGTGCTTTCGAAGGTAAATACGACTTTGTAATTTCCTTCAAAAGACTTTTCACCTTGGTTCAAATTGTCTTTGCTGACTGGCAGCTCCGATTTTTCGACGTGAACAGCACATAAGACGTTTTGATGAGATCGCCTCAATGGATTGCAAAGTTCAAAGTAAAACTGCTCGATTCATTTGTAAATTTCACTGTTTAACAAGGCTTAACTGACAAAATAACACACAAGAAAGCGTTGAATCCACTACTGGTGGCTCGTACATGCTGCTTTCCTTTTAGGCATTTTTGTCTGCATCTTTGAGAACATCTTCAATCCTACTGTCCGGTAAGGTGGCTTTACTCGCGGATTAGGTGGTAATTCTCTGCCAAAATTCAGAAAATTTAATAGTAATTTACGCGATAATGCCTTTTGAATGCAACAGTCTTCCATACCACGCCTAAGCTGTTTTAAACAAAATTATTTACGTTTTGCTAAGGCGTCGTAAAGTTTTCCATTTGTCCAAACCTAGCGAGTATAGATCGCTCCATGTGGTGATCAGCATAACTGTCAAAGACGTCAAAAAACATCTCACTGACACAAAGACCCCCCTGATGTACGCATGGGGAAGCTGAAAGCCGCGCTCAATTTCTAAGGGCAATCTTAATGTTTTCTCGCTTTAAAGATAAGAAACACCAAAGAACGATTAACATTGGGGGAGTTATTAAGTCTCCTTTCAACTGCAACCAGCAATGCGATTGTTTATACCTTTATAGGTGGTTGTTTCGCCTAAAGAATCCGCCCCTACAGTGGTCATTTCATATGACAAGTGTTTGCACAAAATTATTTGAGGCCAATTTTTATGCAAATGGAAGATGCCTTTAAATCATTGCTTAAAAGCATTAGGGACGTCAATCTTTGCATTTTCCAACAATGAAAGTGACACTTCTACCTGTTCTGTACCAAGAAATGCAATTTACACTGAAACAACTAATCACACTCATTTGCCGGCCTCCAATGTCTGACTCGACCGCCGTGCCAAAGTGTCTGCAGACCCTCCACCATGAGTGACGTCCACTTTCTGTTGATAGTACGCGTAGGAGACACTAGGCAAGCAAGTGTACCGCCTGTTGACATGTCTTTGAAAGTCACCTCACCTCATCCATCATGAGGTCGCCTTACCTTTTGCATAGGAGAAGAATTGTTCAGGTCAGATTGGCTTTGGAATATATCAAGATCTTGAGTAGATCCTGAGAGAGTAACTTACAACCTGCTCAAACCCTCACTTTTACTTTGAGGAGTGTTGTCATAACAACTTGATAGGTGTTAGCGCTTTTCTCTAACAAGGCAGCAAAGTACCCAAACCTACACTCACATTCCCTTACCTCACAGACAGTTCACTTCCTTCATTCTGTCCGATGTCTCTTCGACTTTAGTGTGGTGTTGAATTGAAATTTTAACTTTGATTATGTCGACTGATTGAATGAAAAATTGCCTGACTAGAAAGGCACTGAGGGTGAGGTTTTTTTGTGAGAGGTAATGAAAGGAGGCCGAATAAAATAGCAAAAAATACGCAAAATAGAGGAAAGGAAGTTGCGTATTTGGTGAGAAAAGAAAGTGATAAGGCTTGCACTACGTGCGTTTTCTTTATGTGCATACATGAGGTTATGCATAATGAACGCTGTCAACTATGGCATTTGGTCACACACTTAACTATTATGTACACAAAGGTGGAAGCAATGAATGAATGAAGCAAAGCCCAGAACAAGAGAGGTGGAGAGGAGTGTCATCAAGCACCACTGGAGGCGAGAGGGTTGGACAGAGGGTTCGTTGTTAGTGTTACTATCTGAGACGTCGTATTAAGGGTGGTCGAAATTTCATGTTTAAGTGTGTCAGTGGAGCTGTCATTGTCTCTGTGGCTGCCGAGACGGAATGATGAACGCAACCGTGAGAGCACTCTTGACGACGACGTCGATGACGATGGTTTTCGATGACTTTTGAATGCATCATTTGCAGTATTAGTGATCGTTGGCTTGCATCGCAGTGGCTGAGGGCCCGTCATTGCATTAGGAGTTGAAGTTGATGTTGGTCTATCATTAACGACTTCCGTCGTCTGGGACGATGATGGTGACGGCGGCGGCGGACGTGGCGGCGGCAGCGGTGGTGGCATAGCTGACTGTGGTGACAGAGGTCTCGGTGGCACGGGTGGTGATGGTTTGACAAATTCATTCCCAGTCGTCTTATCTACAATCGACCATCTAAAGAGGCGTCGGCGACGATTTTGAGTAGAATTGGCGCTTGGGTGACTGGTTGAGGCACTTCGATTTGGTTGTAAAGATGAGATCATTTCAGAAAATCCCTATTTAAGAAAATGTCACAAATTAACTTTGATAATGTGAGCAAAGTCTAGTTGTTATGGTTTAAGTTCGCTTGAAACACGAGCCGTTTCATGCATGGAATGCGATTAGGTCACTTAAAATCTGGACTATGCTAGAGATTTAAACAGGCAAGGTCCACCTTATGCAGTGTATACCAACAATGCGAGTAAAGAAAGTTGAGCGTATGGCATGCAAAAGGTACCTGGCTTGAACTCCGCAGACGAGAAGAAATAGCTGCCAACAGTTTCTGCAAAAAGGGCAAATAGAAGTAAATGTGACAATGTGATGAACTGCTGTATGTTTGTCAAATGCCTTATCAACTTTTGGTGCCCAGGCCAAGTGCCTCTCGAACTAAAAGGCATTGCTTTCCTTTATGTGCTGGATGGGCAGTGAAATACTCGTCACACAATTTAAGGTGCTCCTTAACACTGCAGTGGGGAAATAGGGTATTCAATGAGAAAATCTTGGTACTTCTCCTAGCCAAAAAAATCTTTATTTCAAAGGACGATGATGGACGGTTAAATCCAGGAAGTGGACACGATCCGATCGCATTTACGGTCCCATTCAAAGGGGGAACTTCTTTCCATTCCTCAAGTTCTTCTTGCTGAGCGGCCTTCTCTCCAGCCTCGGCCTTTAGGCGGTTGTAAAGGTGAAATTTTATTTTTACTATAAAACAAGTTGTAACGGTGGTTTGTCGCTTTTTCCTTAAAATGTGTGTGTCTGTCATCAAAAAAAACGCCGTCCAGCCGTTCCCATCAACCAATAATGTCGCTTCCCAGCAAGCAATTTTGGTTTTTCCTTCCCCAAAAAAAAATTTATGTAAAAATGCAAAAAATGCAGTACATGCAGCATCGAAATTTGGGCAAGAGAAACCTTGCAAAGCACAAAAATTGCAATGCTTAACGAGTTTTAATTTGCACTACCTCATGCCAAATTGCTTGCTTTAAAAAGCAGCTTGTCTTAGCATTCTTTATGGTCCTTAATGCACTCAAGTGAAAGGTACCAAATGCTTCTCCAAAAGACCAATATCTTTAGTAATAAATTGAAAGTAAGGAGAGTAGGTGGTGAAAATTGTCCCGCATACAACAAAAAGGTGGTGAGAATAATTAGACCGGCCTCAATACGTACAAATGGAGGCTTGTCGCATCCACCTTGGAACTGCATTGAAGCAGTCGCACTTCTATTAGCTACGTTTGCCCCATACTTTGCATTCTTAGAGTGCAGTTGATGCCAGTGGAATGGCTAAACAACAACACTTCCAAATGCACGCTCGCCTAAACCAGTGGACTTTATTAGCCAAAGGTGAGGCTTTTTTTTTCCAATGAGATGACATTGCTTGGCTTAATTTTACGTACCCAAAACTGCGCGCAAGATTAACTGATTTGAAATCTCTTCTACTTCTTCCTGCTAAGAAGTGCACATGCATCAGGCACTCAACAGTGTCATAAACACCACAAGCACTTGATTCTTGTCAAGAAATTGGAAGGAGTATTTATGAAAGGTGAGTGGGCATGTGAATCGCATTAAGAAACATTCATCTCGACCGCAGCTGACATTCCCGACTTCCCACTCTCCTACCATCGGTTGGAAGGAGTGAACGTAAAAAGGTGACAGTAATCTAGATCGCATTTCTTCTTTTGCCTGCATTTCTGTGGCGTTAGTTGACTTTTAAAAAGAAACGCTAGTGCAACTCTGGCCCGAATTTAGAAAAAAAACAAAACTAGTGAGGAATGTTTGGTGCAACTACAACCTTCTTGTGAGCATAGCCGCTTGTGGATGTGGCATCTGCGGTCGCTGCACCTATGGAGGACTGTTCGGAGAGCGAACTAGGCGAGGGAGTGTTGATGTGAATAGCCAGTTGTCGTGACAACTGCGATCGTTCAGTGGAGACTTCAGCATCACCTTGGGAGAGACTACGACGCCGAAAATGCGTACGTTGGCCTTCAGGAGGGAGTTGAAGATGGTTGGAATCTCCTGTTGACCTTTGACTAGGCGACGGATTGGGCAGAAAGACGTCATCAAGTGTTTGGACGATGTTGGGCACGGAGCTGTCATGCGGAACACCGTCAAAAAAGTCTAACTGATGGGATCGGTCGGGCGAAGCCTCACCTTCCGTCTAAAAAAAGTTTTTTTTTAATTTAGTAGTACTTAAAAGGATTTATGGGTAATGCGGGTGAAGTATCATTGACTTCGGTTCTAGTAGCAATATTTTAGAGCTCCCGTGGAAAGGTGGCATCAATATCATGCAAGAATGTCTCCCAAAATTCGTCCACCTTAATAAGAGGATACCATCATGAAGATGTGGAGATTTGAAGTAAATCCTTGAGTCTCCCTATGCTGCATCTATGGAGCCAAATGGTCGTTGCTCTCCCAAACTATGTCTAAGCTGGACAGTTGAGTTGCCCGATTCGAGGTCGAATTAAGGAACAATACATTATTTTTCCCTTCTCAACACAAATTCGCTTAGATGGGCGAAGGTCAAATGTCACGAGGAATGACTTTTGCCCTGATAATGTCAGCACCATTCGTCGGCCTGGCATTTGCAGCCGAGATGTTGGATTGATATGACTTCTAAAACAGAAGGTGCTTAAGTAAAACGGCAACACTTTTGCTTAGATAATAAATGAATAGCTGTAGTAACAGGTTGGGAAATAGTGAGAAACGAAAGTCAAACAAAGTAAAATCGTCAAAACGATTGACAGAAAATCATTTGCCAGTGGGTAAAGGCCTCGAATCGTCTTAAATGTAAACATTTAATGTCGCATTAAAAATTAATTTTACTTAACAAAGTGCGAAAGGAAGGAGCTGTGAATAGTTTCGAAGAAAGTGACTTACTTTTGATTGAAAAGTGGTAAAGCAAGTTGGAGAAATGTAAATCAAGCCTCGACACCGACAGGCGAACGCCCTCCAATCTCAACTTCTAGAAGACCTCACCCCTTTAAAGTGTCCCACGTCCCGCTCCAGCCTGTCTTAAAACATAATTTACTCAGATTTTTTTTCTAATATTCTGCTTGCTGACGTTGAGTAACGTAGGAACTCGTTTTGTGCTCAAAAGTGACCTGATCATTTGCGATCCTCAGTTAATCCCTTCCATTGACCAACGAGTTTCGTGCATTGAAGAGAATCAACACTTCGGGCAAAATGTTTTAATCCAACAGCAAAATAATGTTGTGGAATGAGAGGACGGAAGAGGAGGACTTAACTCACCCATCTCTCAAGGGACCGATTCTCCGAGAGCTGCTTCCACCACTCAGTCTGGGGGGCAGACACGCCACGGATGTGGATTGAACTCTGAATTTTGTCTAAAATTGTCAACACCAAGTGTTGTTAACATTAAGACACTTTCTTTCCCCTAAGAGGTCAAGTTTTACCTTCATAGTGACTTGCATTTACTGTCAATTATATTAAACCATTTCTTTTCTCGACTATAATGCATTAAGAGAGCCACTGTAATGCTTGGTGGTTCTTTTAATGCACCGTGTAAGCGGGTGACAGAAAGACAACTCCAGCCTCACGCTGGAGGGCTGGTTGTGCCTCTCCCACGCTAAGAGAGGCTGGACTTTTCCACTTCGCCGCCTTGGCCTCCTCCTCCTCCTCGTTTCAAATACCATATCACCGTCTCCCCTCCATCTGCACCTCCCGTGTTCAGTAAAGTGTTCTAAAGTAAATGAACCCCTTGCACACAATATAGCTTAAGGAAGGAGGCAAAAGGAGGAGGAGGAGGAGGAGGAGGAGGAGGAGGAGGAGGAAAATTCACTACAGTCATTTCTTGAAAGGTTGTTTCGCCAAATCCGATTCAGCTCCACAACAAAGGCGATTGTGGCCTACTTATATTGTTACTTGAAATAAAATGAAAAAGCGTTTAAGCGAGCCTCTTGACCCAAATCAAAAACTACTTTAGAGGTTGAAGAAAAGTGATGATAAATGCACACAAGGGGTATGAAAAGACCTAATAAAATTCCAGTTAGTTCGTTTTGACTTGACTTAAAATTTTTCACATTTTGGAGATCGAAAGGTAGAGGGTTGGAAAAGAGAAATTATTTTCATCACATTCGTCGCATTCCATTCTATTTGTTAGCTATTAATCCTCCTCCCTCATGCTTTCTCAGGTTTTAGCTTCTTCCCTACCATCATGCAATTGCTGTGCCCTCTCCTGCTATCCACACCTCTTCCTTGAATAGAAGAACGAGTAAGTTGTTTAGAAAAGGAGACAATATTCATACCATAATAAGGAAACAAAGTAATAAAAAAGGTAACAGAGATCCCTTCATTGCAGACACACCCCATGGAACCCCTTTTGTAAGCCTTGAAGTCATCTGTAAACACAGATCCACTTTTAATTGCTATAGCACAAACGCTCAAGTCTTCAGGTCTATCCATTTTGCCAAAAAATTGTTTAAACAAGAGGTTAATTTTTTTTGGGAAAGTAAGCGCGTTGCTTGAGGTAAGAGGTTGTAAAAGGGAGTGGAATCCACAATTGAATGTTTACTGCAGCTTGCCACATCGCACCGCCATTGTGCCCAACTCACCGTTTAACATTTCTTCTACCAATATTTTTCACTTTTATGACCAAAAGTAAGCAGAGTTATGGAACAAAGGAAACGCTTCCCGAAACAATTAGAACAGCATCCTTAATTGTTCTCCTTGACTTTGAAGGATTATTAGTGCAGCATCAAAGGTGCCGCAGGAAATTATTGCCATTACTAAATTGTACAAAAATCGTAAAAATTGTCTAGACTTTTAAGCAGACATTTAGGATTAAAGTACCTACCAGTGTTTCCATCGACATTTGTGTCATTATCATCGTCGCCGTCCACTAGTTGAGTGGTGGAGGAATGAGCCGAGAGGAAGGCATTCCTTTGATCGTTGCGCCAGTTAGACGAGAGAGAAGTCATGTCAGTGGAGGAGAGAGTCTTGGCCTGACGGCGCATGCCACATACAAAGTGAAAACGACGCGGATTCTGTAATGCCAACTGCAACTGGGCTTGCATCGTAACAATGTCCGCCAATTCGCGCAACCAAGCATCACGGGCAGTCTCCACACCGGGATCGACGACAAAGACGACGTCACTGGAAGGTGACTCATCAGCCACCGCGAACCAAAGGCGATCAGGGGCACAGCATCCTGCCAAGGCGGTTGCCTTGCACGTACTCTCCAACACTCCGCTTTCGAACAGAAGGGGATGCTTCGAAGAGACGCTGGTGGTGGTGTTGCAGATGTCATTGCTGATGGATGTCTTAAAAGCTCCGTTTTTCTGTGGCAATCTGCAATTCACCTTTGGCGAGTCAAGATGCTCCATAGTTGAGGAGAGCCAATAGGGCTGTGGATTAAAAGATTGCAAATTTAATGCAAGAAAGATCAAACGGAAAACTCTTTTTAACTCTTGCATGGTATTGGATGATGCTCTTGCTTATATCTTCCATTTCGAAGAATATTACTTTAATCAGAAGCTCCAAACAAAACTCGTGTTTGCAATTTTGCTTTTTAAAGATGCTGAATTGCAATCTACAGTAATGTTTAAGCGCACTTCAATTTAAGTTTAAAAAATGGAAATTTTGGTCAAGTGGATGGACTACTTTTGATTATCTGTGAAAGGCAAATTTAGTATTTGCGTAGGCAAGTGATTTTTGGTCGGATTGTATAATTTTAGTTTCAAAATGACTAAACAGTTGGTAGTGAGCCACCGCCTCCTATTTCGGTCTGCTTTTGCCACCTCTTTTGGCATTGAAATGGGTGAAAGTTGTTAGCATGCAAAAGGGTATTTAGAGGACGCCAATCGCCCCTGCCTCAGTCAGTGAATGCTCGGCATCAAATGCCACGAAGGAGGCATTTTAGCTGGATCCTACATATCCGTGCAATACAAAGCCCGCCGACCTCCTGCTGCCTCTACTTCTCGAAGAACACAGTTTGATAGCAAAATTTGGAAATCGCTGTGACTATCAAAGCTTGTTTTGAACTCAAAAGGCTTTTTTATGGTTAATTGAGCAAAGGAAGGCTTTTTTTGAAAAAGTAAAAGCTCCACATTGTAGCTTTGGTCTCTTGAATTGGTGTTGATAGATCAAATTTAGACAAGTCCCATGCTTGTGAATTTTGCCCAACTTGTATTGCCTTCTTTGTTTGACTCCTTGATTCGGTTGCAGTCACTCGGGTGGTCAGAGAGTCGCGGGTGAGTGGTCCAGCTTAAATTCTATGCCAAACCGTCTGATCCTTTTTATTTTGCCTTTTCCATCCTCGAGGAGGTCTTTTGATGCTACAATGGACGCGATGGAAACCGAACGCAACTCTAAGAGGCCCTCCATCCTGACGTGCACCGCTTTTAAAAGCTTTTTGCGATGCCGAAGTAAAGCGGAAATGGATAAATTTGCGCACTCTCTCGTAACTGAATGGATCAAGCTGCCTTCTACCTTCTAGTGTTCTGCAGAAAGGCTCGTATCAATGAATATCACGGCGATCCCGGACATTCTGATAAAGTTTTGTTTTGAGACTGCCCTGCCTTAAGTGCTTCCCTAGGTGAAACTAGGCGGAATTCCATCCTTTCGAGTTTGTAATGAATGTGCTACTTCCGCTTACGAATCTGCCTCTACACCTCCCCTCAACGCTCACTCATGGAAATGCATGAGAATCAACGGAATCCCTCTAGCACTGAGTGCAGATCCCAGACCATACGAAAACTCCAAATCCAGTATAATTGCCAATACAGAGGTCAACTATTCCTTGGCTGCATAAGGGAATGATAACTGACCAATTTGCCGACAAGTGTGGTGAGTGATCCACACAGGCTCGCCGACAGAAACATCGGATTGATACGTAAACGACAAGAAAGACAGCGAAATGCTTTGATTGCTTGGGTTGCTGATCTGGATAACGGTTGCTTGGGTTGTCACGTCGCCCTGGCCAAGCAGGCTGACCTTTGAGCCATGCCAAATGCACACATCCAACCTAATCGCCTTTAAGGAAGCCTCAAAGCGATAAACTACTCATGTGCCCTTTTTCACTCCTCATTTTACTGCATAATTTTGCTTTCTGAGGTGACAAATCTAACCAGGATTCAGCCTTCACTTCCTGATGAAGGCATAGAATTCAAGCATTGGTGCCACATCACCCTGCCACTGGATTGGAGTTGGTGTTTGACATTTGGATTTGCAAGGCGTGGGCGCAAGACTGCCTTGGCGGTGGTCAAATATAATTAGGTCTCCATGACCAGCGGACGTCAGTCGCATCACCCACCCAGTCATCCGATCGTTTGCGTGGGTACACAATTCCTCCTTCCCTAAACACTCTGACGCAAATCCCTGCTGAAAACCATTTTCATCGCTCCTAAGGCTTTGGAGAAGATAAAGTATGCACAGTTGCAAAGGGAAAAAAACCTTCATTAATATGACTTTGATGGAGACATACTCAACCTCGTTTAAGTACAATTTTAACCTTTTTTCCAATTTTTATCAATCAGCATTTTTTTTTGTCAAAAAAAACTCCAAAAGTCCAAACAGTTTTCACACCAAAAAGACGCGCGCCACTGTCACTAGTCAACTTTTCACCTCTTAAGACTTCCATTCCAGCCATGTATATAATGCTGATTGTAAAAAAATTAATTAACTTTAATGTTGCAGAAATAAACCACAGCCTGGAGCACAAAAGATGTAGTCAAATGGCCACAAGGTGGTTACTTGTCAGAAGAATGCCATTTTTACGCCTTTATTTCCCTTTCAGACTCAAAAGCTAACCAAGAACAGATGTCTTCCCACCTCATCTCATTTTAGTGGACTTCATAATTATTTTCCTTAATTCACTTTATTTACTGACTTGAGTGGAAAACAAGTCATGCTTTATGCATAGTTTTACTTTCAAAGACAGGTTAAATAAACAAACACCAAAGGTGAATCTTTTGTGAAGAGCTTACCACAAATGCCATTCGGTTGACCTTGACAGCGTGGAGAAATTTGTAGGAGGACTGGCGAAACGGATCGGATGGCGCTGACCACCCCAATCTGGGCCAAGTACTGCCAAAATCTGACTCCAAGCTGCTTAGGTGACTACCATGTCGGCGAATATGAACGGTTCTGCGAATGGCTGGACTCCGACCACCAGGAAAGAGAATCGTGTGGTTGCCGTCATCGGTCTGCAGTCTCTGTGGTCGTTGAGGTTTCAAATCAAACCGCATATTGCCGGTCCGATGAACCAACGAGCCCGAACCAAAAACCACACGGCCAAAATTTGCTTGAAAACTATTGCCCACGGCAGTGGTCTCTGGTGCGTTGTTAGCAGCGGTTGAAGATGTGCTGTCCTCAGTGATGATGAGGCATTGGTCGAAGAGGAATACGCGACATTCCATAAATTGGAGGTTTATGGACTTCTGTGCCGCGGTACAGCCTAGGTTCATGCAGTTGAAACAACAGCCTTTTCCTTCCCATTATAAACATTGTCCATTTGTCTCGAAAGCTTATCCCAACTACATCAAGCCAGTTGATTTAAATTTTTCTCTTCATTGAAGCAAATCATGTGCAAGGAGCCCAATAAACTCTTAAAAAATTATACAAATACTAACTGAGAGCAATATTTCGATGTAAAAGTCAGCCATTGTTTCTTTTTTTTTTTGCAAAGTTATTCACCGCGATTGTCTGTTCTGATTAAATCAAAGGCCAAAAGCTTCCAGAACTTTCGTCCACTGCTACATTAGAGCATTTTTCTCAGGAATAAAACATTTCATCAATCATGAAACAAGTGAGATGAGTCTTTGTAAAACAAAAAGGTAAAAAAAAATAAGTTGGGTGTTAGTGTGCCCTACTGATGGCACAAAATGCGCTGATTGGCTAAGGAACAAATTTTAAAATTGCAACTTAAAACCTACATTGTGACGCAAATTAGACAGAAGATGAAAAGCATAGATTTGGAGATTTTCTTGTAAAAATCTACCCAAATGTAGACTTCATTGTGGAGCCGCCTCCAGTCATCAAATCCTTCCATCCACCTATGTCTGAATTTTCGGCTACAGGTAGTCCAAAAAAGAGGCAACTTATGACTGCAGGATGATTTTAAGTTGTAAAGTCTTGAAGGAAGTCAATTGCTGAGAGGAATTGGGTGGATAAAGGTGACCGACCTACCAAAGCCATCTTGTCTACTGAAAGTGGTCCGTTTAACTGACTAACTACTCCGTCCACAATAAAATGATGGGTGCGTCAAAGGCAAAACACTTTTGCTGGCGCAATCTAAGCAATAAAAAGTGAAATGACTAAATCAAGTGTCTGCATAAGTAATTTGTTTCCAACAGTCGCCAGAAGAAGGGGCATTAACGCAAAGTTGGGCTTGAGATTTGACGACTGTAGGGCGGATAAGGCGGAGCTGGTAAGGAAGGTGGATCTCCTTGCAAACTAACTAGTCTGCGGAATTTTCCGAGGCATTTGCAAACGTGACTTAAAGTGATAAGTGGTTGAGGAAAAAGGGGTATGCAATTGCTCCCCATTCCAAGTTTAAACTCATTTCATTGTAAATTGCCTTAATAAAAATGCTTCTATTTTGGAGTATATTTGGAAAAATGGTGGTGTAAAAGGTGAAAAATTCAAGTGTTAAAATGTCGTTTAGCCTAAACCGTTTATGTTAACTGTTTTAAATGTAAAAGAAGTCTTCATTTTATGATTTCACCTTCCAGCTTATGCAAGCCCAGGAGTGCAAAATGTCACCACAATTTGGATAGTTGAAAAGGAAAGGTGGAGCGAATTACATTTGGTCAGAAGGCGACATTGGCTGCATTCTATGTTTTTGTGGTCATTGTTGAGTCGAATGAAGGAGGAAGATGTCACCGCCCTGCGTTTGACCACGAGGGAGGAGCTGTCCTGCGAGTAGGAGTAGTGAGTGCTGGACTTGACCAACACCTGTCTCGCCGCTGTCCGTGCGGTCTGGAGATCGGCCCTTGTGGTGCGAGCCACGTACACGGCACCGAAGAGACGCAAATTCCCCTGATTTGTCACCGAGCCGGGGTATCCAACTATTTGTGCGGCCTGTCAAATGCATCACTTTTAAATTGATTAGCAGAAGTTTTGTGGTTCACATCCTTGCAATTTTGAGCATAATACTAACATCCTCCCAAGTCCTCCATCAAGTGATGGTTTCAACACCACGGAAATTTCAAATGGCTAGAGATGAGCCTTGAAAATTTAAAGCTTTTGTTTTGTGATGTGTGGTCAGTGCTTGGTTTGCCCTTTTGTGAAGTTGACCTGTCAATGAAGAAATGCCCTCTTTTAGCACTTACATTCCATCAAAGTTGGTGTGATTTCCTCCTACCCTCTGATTCTCTTTAAATGACAGACCTGAACATTGTCCGTTGTCATTAATCTCTCCTCCTCTTCAAATCCAATCAAACAGTCAACTTAAATCATCCACTTCCAGTTCTCCCTTTCACGTCATCTTTGTCTCTTTGCTTAGTAACGAAGAGTAAACAGAAATGTTTGCCGAACTAGTCCATAAATTACGAACTATAAAATTGACTCGATTAGGCATTGTTAGAAGATAGGCTGCGTGGACTGGCGATCATATTTGGCCAATTCGGAAAAGACCTTACAAATAACCTAATGTAGAAAAGGTTTTTTTTTCTTAGTATTTCATAAAGAATGTGGATGAGCAACAAGGGTGAAGAGTGATGCAATTCAACTCTCAAGTTGGAGGCATAAGCGACAACGCACCGGTCAGACTTATGTCCGCGGCATTCTCACTTACGTGCATCTCGACTAGCGAATGTCAAAAGATCTGCTGTTTTGCGCATCCGAATTTGACAAGATGAAAATAAATTCTCCTTCTTGAATTTGTTTACTTCAATTCCAAATTCATTTCTCCTGAAAAACTTCAGTATGAAAGGCGGGTGGTATGCGGGACGCCTCCCTTCCGCTCGGTGTTTTGCAAACTTGACGAATGAGGCCCTTAAACAGGTGTCACTGAAACTTTCTTTTTCTCAACAATGTTTGTCTGTATGTCAAACTATCAGGATCTAAAGGAAGGGTTGAGAGGCCTTCCTTCCTCCCCCTGCCCATAACCAAGTCGTGCCTCACAAGCCGCCCCGCCCAAAAAGAGTGACCGTTCAACCCCCTCGCCTAGGGGATTAAAATCACCCCTAAATAATTGCTGACATTCCTTAAACAATCAAATTTAAAACGACTTGACCAAGATATGGGATAAACAAATCTCTTTTATTAAATTAATTTAGGTAATAGTCACTTTTTGACGTTGCAATCATTACAAGAAAGCTTTTTGCACACCTGCCAGAGGCTGCAATTAAGCATTAAAGACTGTCAAAGGTAAAAAAATCTCTTAAATTTGTGGAATCAATTTTTAACTATGGGCAACACTTTTTTTTGTGTTACACTGGCATTCCATAATTAATTCTTTGCAAGGACGACACACAATCCCACCGACGCCCTGGACGCCAAAGGGTTGCTGTGTGCCGACGAGGGAATAACAGCAGGGAGTTCGTGTACCCAAAAATATAGCCAGTAAACCACTCTCCTCCTCCTCCTCCTCCTCTCTTTTTCAAGCAATGGTATCCCAACCCGATCAAAGTTAATCACTTTCAGTTCCGGTGTAGAAGGATTGTCACCTTCTTGATGGTGGAAACCTGCGCGTGCGCCACCCACTCCAATGGCGTGTCCTCTTAGAATTGACAAGTTAATTCCATCCAACTTTTCATACAAGTTTCAGTACTTAATAAAGAAAGATTATAAAACTTGATACAGTGCATAATGTGCGTTTAAATTGTCCATAGTGGATGAAGGTGGCAAATTCAATTCGAATGCGGCGCTTAGGAATCGAGCAGGGACCACCGTAGCTACGTCCTCACCTTCTTTCGGTTTCCATTCGAGCTTGTGATCCCTTTAAATGCCAAATAAGACAAAAAGAGAAAAACCTCAGAAAAAGAGTCCTGAGTTGGCAGGAAGGGAGAATCAGTTTTGGCGGAGTCGTTTTAAGTTTTCTGGTAAAATTAATTTAATTTTTGACAGGTCAAAGGAGGTGCTACCCCTTTTTCGTTGTAATCCCCAGCCTATCAGTCGCACGACTCAAAAGTAGGTTGAAAATGCCTCCCTTCTTGCCGGCAACTCGTAAAATCTGACCAAATCTTGCATCTCAAGCAAAATACTTTACTTTTCTCTTAATTTCTATCGATGCCAAACCCTTGCTGCCACACAGAATGTCATTTTCGTGAAGCCTAGGAAAAGACATGTCCCTCGGCTTGAACAAATGCTAACCGCCGTCCTCCTGACACCGAGAGACGAAGCATTTGAAGCGCCAATTCCTGCTTCCTTTAAGGTCTACTGAAAGTGACTTGAAAGAGGACAGTATTGTTTGCCACCTTGGTTCAAGAAAAACCGATTCAGGTTTTCCTATTTTTACCACTGGTCAAAAATAATAAACTGCATTTTGGGGCCATAGGAAATTCAATTTGGCTGGAAAAGTATTTTCTTTTTTACTTTGAAGGTTAAGACTGGAAGATACGCAATGCACAACAATGCTAAGTCGAGCCATTGCAGGCGAATTTGTGACTCAAAACGACTTCCAATGTAGTGCAGTTTAGTAAAAATAATTTTTGTTTTCAACAGGGCTAAGAAAATGTCACTCCTGTTTAATTTTTCTTTTTAATCCTTAAAAAATTAGTTGTGGAGTTAAAAATCTATTTGACTGACATCAACATGCAAAATTTGACCAAAATTCACATCACAAATAAAGTGTTTGTAGTTTTCTTTACTACGTCTGCCAAATTCTTGTTGTCACACAGCATGTCAGTTTTGTGAAATCTGGAGGGAGATGTGCCTCTTGGCTGTGGCGGTGCTAGGCGCCGTTTTCCTGGCGCAGAGTTGATGCCTCGCATGGAAAGGCGCGACTCCTCAGCCTGAGGACATTTGAGCCACAGACACCTCCTCCCTTCAAGGTCTGCTATAACTGACTTGAAGGAGAGCAGCAGTTTTGCTTGGCATGGTCTACATCTACCAATTTTGGAGGTGCTAATATTAAATGGTACTTTTCCACTACTTCTTGGTACACTTTTGAACACTTTTTTGAACAATAACAAGTAACATTTCGAGGGATGTGGGAATTTTGGGGAGGCGAATCTCTTGACACAGACAGAACACAACAGTAAGAGCTATTTTTGTTGCAAGCATTGTGAACCACAAGTGATCAAATTGCCTTGCAGCAGTTGTGGGCGACTTCACTGGTCTGCACAGTGCGTCAATTTGTTCCTCCAACTTGTGTCATTAAATTAACTTTAACAGAGGCAAATTCAAAACCATGGCTAAAAGGTATTTCATTACTGAAGTGTACTAGAATGAAAACAGTGAAAATACTTAGACGTAAGCATGAAGAGGGTGGGTCAAAGGGAGGGGAAAGAGAGACATTTCCACTTTTGCCTCGTCCATTTTTTTTGGCATCCTTTGCTGCTCGTTCGAACACATACTTGTGAGATTTCTCTAGCTCTTCCTTATGGCATTAGTTTTTGCATAGACGGTGTTCAGGCAATAAGCCTTTGTCGAGTCTGGAAATCGGGCTCCAGTGTGGCGCGTAGCCGCGTCAGCTAAGCCGTCAAGCCTTACAGTCTGCTAATCATGGGAACTTTGCATTCGTGAACCCTTCAATGTCTGCTTCACTCCAAGGGTAGTAAAGAAGAAATATTAGACATCTTCAAAATGAGGCTAAGATTGTGCTTTGGGAAGGAGATCAACCAATAAGCTCCCAATTGGGTGGACTGCTAGTGTGGAACAGAATTGGTGGAAAAGGAGTGCCATTCCCATCTCCACAGGCACTCATTTCGGATTTTAACCGGTTCCTTAGCGTAACCTTTGGAAGCGAAACTGAAGGCACCTTCCACTAAAAGACTTATACTTTCAGCAACTATACAAGTTTCATGATCTACAAGATTGTTATCAGCAACTAAAGGAACGCTAATTGTTGGAACCGTTTGAAAGTCTGCTTGCACTCCATGATCCACTTCTCTACTATTTGTGTTGTGCTGCGTGGATTCAGCAGGATGCATAATTCTGTTTTAAGATAGGATTTTTCTAGGACCAGACCCGAATTTACAAAGTGACCCGTCTTCCATCATCCACCTTAAACAAATCGAAAGTCCAGACCCAGTAGACCTTCTGTTGTGGCATTACAAACTCACAAAGTAAGCAAGTTAGCACAAGATGTTGGCTAAAGAAGGAGATGAATGGAGGAGGATGGGGGATGCTACACTTGAAAGATTTTTTTTTTTCATGTTTTAATCGAACCACTTCTGCAGTTTAAGACCTCACCGTACTTGAGATGTGTACATTTTGCTCGAGCATTGACTCCTCTCCCGACTTCAATGAGGTCTTAGCGCCCTTAACCGCATGTCATCGAGGACTTTGGTTTGCTACTCTTAGCTACGGCCACGATTACATCCCACGGAGCAATAAATAAAAGTTATTTAGGAAGTACAATTTCTGATCAAACGGCTCATTCAATTTTGCCTTCCAAATTCGAGAATGAAGCTTAAATCATTTAACAATTCACAGTCAATTTTGAAAGAATTCAAATTTGCTGTGCGTTCGTAAATAGAAAGATTCCCACACTTTATTCAACATAAGTTAAAGGAAAGCACTTTGGGTGGGGAGGTATTCCCGAAATCAGCTAGCATATTTAAATCACAAAAAAGATGTGATTTATATGGTGAATATACTACTGATTACCCTAAATAAGTAGGCCTCGAGTTAACATGTTTTAAGGCTAAGGAGCATGAAAACATCAAATCCGGGTATGCGAATTTAAAAACGACTTACACCATTTTATGGACGACAATTCGGATGCAAGGTTACATTTCATTCACATATAAATGCTGGTGCAAGTTGTGTACACAGGCAATAAAACGAGATGGCCTGAGATCAGTAAGGACTAAATCAGTTTGAAACAGACATTCCAACAATGTTCAAAACAGGCTACAGAAGATATTTGACTGCTCAGCACAGCCGGTAGGAAAGGGTTGTAAGAAGTTGCAGGGCACAAAAAATGACCGACCTACGGTGGCTCTTCCTCATCCACACCGACTTCCTTTGTCCTTGAAATTGACAAAGCAATGAGGGAGTCACGAGTTTTCCAGCGTATAAAGTTGGGTTCGTAATAAAATTAAAGTGCTATTGCTCACGTTTTTTGCTTCCTTCCAAAGAGAGCATTGGTTTTCTGGTAAGTATCTCAAAACCTCGCTAATTTTTTTAGTTCCCCTTAAATGCTGTAGCTCTACAGCACTGCATTTTAACAATTCGTCCAACCCCAACATTCTTTGAGCTTTCAAAGCCTCAAGTGCTGCTGTTTGGAGTGGAGATCCACGCTAAGCCCAGGATGTCGTCCCTCTGAATTCAATGCCTCGTAAAAGTGATCAGGCAAGAATGCAGTTCTTCTTTCACCAGTTAAAGTTTTGGGACTTTTTCGTATAAGCACTTTTTCTTGACATGGCTTGGGGGTTTCGAAATGACAATACCTTTTGCTAAACAAAATGCATTAAAGTAGGCTTGAAATGGACGAGTCGAAGGAAAGTGTTTAGTCAAAATTTCTACAACTACGTGAAAAGTTTAACTTCATTTTGCACAAATCGGTACTTTTATATGTGCAAAATTAAAAATTAATACAAAAGTAAAACTTTGAAGAAAAATTTAATATAATAATAAACTAGAGTCCGCTAAACGCACTTACATGGGACAGTCTAATTTCACCTTTGATCTACGACCACTTTTTCGTCTCCCTCTAAAGCAACTCTGTGAAGGGTGTAACGGGACTTCACTTCCTTAAAAACAAACAGCTTATCGAGCTCTGAGTAGCCACAAAATATTAATATCTTTTAGTTCTAACTTGTCACGATTTTAAATAAGTCGTTGGTTTCACTATGCATTACTACTGAAATGCATTTAAGCCTCAAAGTGGTACCTCACCGATCAAACCCGTTTAGTAAGAGCAAAAATTATCGATTCCAAAAAAAATCACAATCTTAACTGTTGTCTCAATAAAGGTGAGCAACTGCAATGTGCGCCTTATTTGCTTGAGCTTTTGTTTTGGAGGACCTCTGCACAATGTCGGTGGCCTCAAGTTTTAAGATCCACTTTTTGTGAATGCTTTAGCTCAGAGCAAGAGACGACCTAAAATTACTAACTTTCGCTGCTCATCAAACCCTCAAAAACAAACTCCAATCATTTATAGAAACAGATAATATTACAAAGTCCATTTTGCGTTCAGCGCTTATGGGTGTGCGATTATTCGTATAAAATGCAAAGGCATTCTTCTGCTCCCCTTGATAAAAAGCTCGACTAGTGTTGGTAATGGTGTGAGGACTAATAATAGAAGTCCAACTTCCCGGTGTATGGTAAACTAAAAAGACTGTGACGCTTCCAGGCAGTAGTGACTGCCTTCCCACATCTGGAAAGGATTTGCATTCCGCTGAGGTATCCGCTGACATTTGCCCAAGTGCTTCCCTTTGGAAGCATTTAGGAGTCCGGAAGATGCACTAACCATGCATAGTTTTATTTGAAAATGTCAGAGTGCACGAGAAATAGTTATAAAACCTCAAAGTTTAAGCATAAATGTGGTTGAGCAGGAGACGATTGCAACAATCATTCTCATCTTCTAAAAGCGCTCTCAGTAGAAAAAAACGTACTTTTGTCCAAACGAACACCGGTAGTATTTTTATAATCTCGAATGTAATTAATGAATTTTATCGCTTTACACGTTGGCTGACAAGAAGTTAGAGAAACCAAAATGTGGCGTTCAAAGTTAAATGTTTTTGGGTTAAATGTGTGACAAGTGGTGCGATTGACTAGGCTCAAGAAAAACTTGTAAAATGGGAATAAAAACACGTTGAAACTAACCTCCAACATTAATTGAACATCGTTGGGTACGTTTTTCAACACCGCCACAGCCGCCTTCCACACTCCACACTCCGGAGCACCCGCCTGTTCCGTCAATTTGAGCGCTTCTGTCATTGGAAGTTGGTAACGCGTGACTCGCTGGATGGGTTGCATGAGGCGTGAGAGGATGTCATTCTTGTCAAAGTAGAAGCGTCGTAAATCCTCAAAGTAGCCCTTGAATTGAGCTACAAGATCAACGGCTTTGGAGTAATTCTCGCAGTACTTCATGTACATGGAGCGCAATCGTGACTGCGAGTTGAGAAATAGTCGTGGCACATTGTCAGGCTGCTCGCAGACTGCACTCCTCAGCTTCTCCACAAACTGGCTATGCCACTCGGTCAGCTGGATCCAGTTGCCCCATACCACCCGCCAGCGGTTGGCTAATTCCATCGGCGGTGTCGGCGGAGGTGGTGATTGTGGCGATGGCAGAGACGGTGGAGGTGAGGGAGAAGATGGACTAGAAACAATGGAGTACTCAGACCGACAGCTCTCACTACGTGCAAGAGAAGGTGTTGGGGCCAATAAATTCTGTGTATTCACCACCGTCATATAGGTATCACGAACTAGCTGAAGTTGTTGCACGTAGTTCTCTTCCGAGTGAACGAGTTCCAGCAATGGCTGCTGACGATATTCCAGAATTGCTTCTGGTGAACTCGACATAGAGGATGGCCCTAAATCAATAAAAAGTTGGCTTTATAAACAAACTGTCACCGTCGCTCCTCGTGACAGTGCATTTTCTATTTGTGACAGTTCCATTCTAAAAAAAGCTCCTTATATTTGTGCATAGATATAATCGCTTGATTGTCTTGGATTGATTCCACTATTTGGATCATAAAAGACACACAAAATATGCACAAATTAGGGTCAAATTTTAATGAATGGGCTGTAGTTTTAGACAATCCTTCACCTCAATAAAATGCGCACTTTGGACAACTATAAAAGCACATGCAAACACCAGAATTGTTTTAACAATGTTAAGACATCTTTTCTTAATTTCAACTATTTCCTAAAATTTACAAAAACATGTAATTTTGACGGAAAATGGATTCACGCATCGTGTTGATGGGATTTGCGGCACAACAATAAAAACTGCTTGGCATCATTTATACGTGACTGATGGCATTGACAGCAATTTTCGCCTTTTTAACCCCTTTGACATTAAATTAATCATCCAGTTTTAGCAAAACGTATATTTTTGCATTATTATTTTCAATTTACATTTATCTTCTCCACAGACCAGGCATTTTTTGGATCCACTTGCGCACATGAACGAGACAAAGAAAGCACCTCAAGAATGCATCATTCACTACTACCATGCCGAAAAAGCAGTGCAGACTGTAAAAAATTCCTTTTATTACATCTAATGCATGTACACACTCATTTGAAGCAAAAGTTCCCCCAGTTTGGGTTACCTCGGGGTCCCGAGGCTTTAAATGTAAAAAAAAAATTGTAAAAATGTGCATGCGAGGTGGAAAGCTTCTGCGAAGAGCGCTGATTGTTTTTGTTTTGTGATTTGCATTTAAGTGAGTGCCTTGGCCCTTGTGACGTCCATCCAACTTCCTTCAACTTTCCTTACCCTACTTAGAAGCAATCCCAAGTGTGGGCAAACAACATTGCATGATTTATTACTTTGCGAGGAGAAATCGCCAGTGACGGGTGACATTTTGGTGCAAATTTAGTGCTAAGACAGTTTGTCAATGTTAAACCATTTTCTTAAACTAAAATACTAAAGTTATGCATTGCAATTGTTCGCATATAAAAATTTTAAACAGTGTGAAATACTAGTTGTGAATGACGATACTCCACTTGTAATCAATTTAGTTAGCAAGAATATTGGTTCCCCAAAATTTCTATTTGTCTTAACTAAAAACAATTCAATAAAAGCTTCTATTTGACAGGAAGGTGATGATGAGATTTACATTGCTTAATTTTCAAAGTAATGGATAAAAGGCGCCCCCAATGGCAACCCTGAGTCACAAAGGAATAATTATTGTGCTGGTTCCCTGAGTGATGATTCAGCTGGTAAAATTTTCTTGTCTAATTTATTTTCCTTGTAGCAGCGATTATTCATCACTGTGCCGTAAGACGTGGGATTGAATGAATGCGCAACTACTGCGCTACATGTGGTGCGATGGTGCCAGCGCGGAACGCAAAGGGGGCATCATTATCCCAATTCACCGAGTTGCTAAACAACCTCGAACCACCTTGCCAAATACATGCGTTATTTCCCCCTTATTTAGCAAAGAGCGTCAAATTAGGTGATTCATTCCACCGGCCTGTGTGAAAATGAATTTCGACATGGGACATTAACATTTAGGAGAAATGTCTAGACCAAATCTTATTGGAAACTTCGCAGGCGGAATGCAGCATCGACATCCCTAGTGTTTGAACGAAATGCCAACTTTGTTAACTTCGCTGATTAGGGGAATAGCATGACCTAAAGGAGTTAAAGTGTATTGTAAAGTGGTTGGTTCTTTCATCAATAGTGACCATTAGAGTCCAGAAGGCAAACCATTTTGATAAAGATAAATTAGCACATTGATGCGGTTTAACAAAATATGCTAATTATCTACCTTTCGCGGTTTGCACCACCAATTTAAAAAGTAATGGACCTTACCCTTTGCACCAAGTTAGATTTAGTTGTTCGAAAGGAACTTTTAAAATTCAAGAAAGCAAAATAACAACAATAACTTAAAGGTTTTAGAAAAAAAGATGGATCTCTAAGAGAATCAACAACTCATTTTAAGCTAGCGAAATTTAGTAGAGGTCAATAAATTTAGAGCATGAATGTTTGGGTTTAAATGTTAAAATGACACCTGTAATATGGAGGACGCAATTAAAGCGCACCCAGGTGAGTTGATTTGAAAGATGCAGCGTTAAATACTCCAAAAATTATCACCTCAAAAATTGCACTTTATGAAATCATACTGTGCTAATGCTTTCTAGATTTACGAAACATACTTCATGATAAATTAATTAAGGGCCTTAAAAGAATAGATAGATATAAAGTTAAAATACAAAAAAATAAAGTGATGCCGAGCAAATACCTTAATAGACACATAAAATGCCAGTTGAGAGTCAAATACGGGTAGACAAGAATTATTTTGACATCGACCAAAGCCTATATATTGAAAAATGCCTTAACAATTTCATCAGTAGAACTAAAACGGCAAACTCTTCCGCAAAGTTATAAATTTCAACGAAAATGCACAGACAACTTCTCCTCGAAGGACCAAAGGAATTTGCTGCTCACAACAGATTTTCACGACATTTTTGCACACTACCTTATGTACACCATTTAAAATATTATAGGAACTAATACAATGCTTAGGGCGGTAAAAGAATGAACATAATGAATGCTTACTTAATTAAAACCTCTAATGAAAACCCTTATTTACCCAAAATTCTTACGCAAACGACCTTGCGCTTATAAAATTAGAAAATTTTCAGGGTCATTTATAAAAAAAGTGTAGAGCTGATAAACACAAGCAAGTGTATAACATAGCAGTAGAATAATAAAAAATTGATCATGTCCTTATTGGCGTTGATTAAATTCATTTGTACAAACTAGTGTCATTGGAGCATTATTTTGTTCTCTTTACAATGCTTTAATTTTTGCCTCCAGTAGTTTCCAGACTAAAAATTTAATTGTTTTATTTTATGCTTAGTACTTTGCTTTTCGTTAGATCTCGAAATTATGTTGGTGGACAAATAATACATTAAAGCTAAATACTGCCACCAATAATGGCTAAGGCAAAAGATGCTTTGAAGACACTTGACAGCTTATTCTCGAGACTAATTGGCTTTGGACGGCCCAAAATTAAATACTCCTAATATTGTAGTGTTTTGAGAGTTCTCATCTGATAGAAAAAAGCAATAAGTCGGACTGGTTAAATGCATTCTAAGGGAAGAATGTAGCGCTATGCCTGTTCGTGGACTCAATCTTAGCCCACGCATACAATGATTCGACATATACCAAAGTGACCACCTGATATCAGCTACCATGTGACTCAGGAATGGTACTTGGTCCCTTCAGCAACTTCGCTTGAATCTGGAACTACATTCTGTCTACAATCAGGAAACAAAGGCACCAATTGCTTATAGGGCCATAGGTTAGGACACTAAGTAGAAATTTAATGGTAAAGACAGAATCAGGCACAGTCCTTTTTGAAAGAAGGTCAGAAGTAGTGCCATTTACGGCATCTATACGCGGATATAGCATTAAGAATTCCAATGCGAACATTTTTTCTGATCGTCCGCCACGGCGTCATTTCATTTGTTAACACCTTATCTTAGCAACACGGAGAATAGACAGAGTCAAATGCAGAAATCAGTCTTAAGTCTTCTTTTGTAAAGAAATCAGAGATTCCTTCATCCCATTCACAAGCTTTTCCTTCGCACGGTAGATGGATACCACAAACGCTGGATGCTAGAAGTGAAGTGGTGTAAAAAGTGGAGTCGCTTTCCGTTTCCACCATAGGAGAAGAAATAAGGCATTAATTTAGACTAAATACATATTTATTCTAGGGGAGAAGAAAGGATGGGACTTTGGCGTGGTGCGAAGGCCAGCCCACGGGAATACGAACCAGGTGAAAACCAATGCAACTTCCCAACATATCGTGGTCATATTAACAAATTGTTACTGTCCTAGCTTCTTAAGTTAAGTGCCAATCCATGTCTTATGCCATTTATCCTTGTTTCTGACCCTCTGGTGGGACGTTCTGCCTAGACTAACCCTTGCATTACCTCTTATTGGAGACTTATTACCAACGATTGCACTTGTTCCTTCGTGAAATCCATAGCATCCGTTTGTAGAAAAAAATAACACGACAAAAAGGTTTCATTTTTAGCTTCCTGTGACTTTCCACCGTGTAATGAGGAGCATTGGACTAGGACTAATGCCTATGTTTGGGCAGAAAGTGTAGAAGTGGAGCCTTATTGTGACACGAAGCCTAATCCACGAGGCAGAAGCAGGATGGCTAAAAACGTAGCTGCCGCTCATTCGAGCGGTCTATCAAACATTGCATCATAATATTTCCTTGAAGTAAGGTGGTGATCCATTCTGCGACAAAGTTAGGCTATTTCATGAATGATTTAGCAATTTCTTAGCAAGCTATTAATTTTAAATTCGTTTCTATGCCAGTTGGAACTTTTGCAATATCATGCCATATCTTTGCACATCAGATACAGATCCGTTAGATAGTTAGCACAATTTTTCTACAGCGATGTCTTGATTTGAAGAATGTCTTTCAATTTATGACTTACAACCGCACACCACTTGTCAACCTTTCTGCTGATTGCGAATACACAATGCATATCCTTTGTTTACAAATGTCATTTTCTAATCGAAATTGATCATGGCATTACGCAGAGCGTACGCCCGGACACACTGGCTTGTCACTTCGCCATCGGTGTGGTCATATGGAAGTGTCAGCTCTGTTTCGGTTCCTTCTCATGCTTGCCAGCATTTCCTTGGCTGTTCTCTCGCAGGTAAGCAACGCCTCCACTCCATTACCTTAAAATGGAACATGAACGTGAAGTGAAGTAGTCACATCACTTGTCAAATCATGTATTGCGAATAAGTTCTCTTAGAAAACAGGGTTTTCCAATCGTAAGACGAACATGTGGCAGATATTTGGCTTAAATATTTTGTGAGTAAATTCCGCTACTGTGTGGTAAGAAAAGTGTTTCGAAAACATATGAAGCGTTGCAGTCGGCATTGAGAAAGGGCGACATAACTCACTGAAGTTAGAGGTAGTTTGTCATTTTCACACTGTTTCCGAATGCTTTAAAGGCCGGTCAAAAGCGAGAGCTCAGTTGTCCCACCAAATTAACTCGTTTTAATACATATTGTATTGTAGGTTTTAACCAAAAGTTATAAACAGAAACACACTTTCTGACAAGTTTGATGGATTAACTAAAGTGAAGGCTTCTTTTTAAAAATTTGTAAACAAATGCTTTATGAGTCCAAGTAAAAAATTAACTGAGAGTCGTTATGGTAGTTTGAGTTTCCGTTCTGTCTTTTTCATGGACTGTACAATGCAATAATTTCTCTTCTTGCCTAAGGAAATGGTCGGTGAAGTGAGACTGAGTTTCTACTTTGAAAGTCAAGACGGAAGGCTGCTGCATGGACAGACCTGCGACCCGTGGCCGTACACGAAATGTGACGTTTACCTAACTGTTTGTATTTCAAGTCAGGGTAATGGGTACGTCTTTAAATTCCTCTTTCATTTTAAGGTCCTGTGATGTGTATTTCCATCGGACGGGGTTGTGGGAGAACGCGAATGTCGGTCAAGCGGCAATTTCATTTCCCCTTAAAAGTCCTGTTCCTGTAAGTTAGGGGATGGGAAAATAAAGCCTCTCCTCAACACTTTAATGCCCAGCATTTCGAGCACAAAAGTTGGGCTTTATTCCAACAATGCTGCAGCTCATCAAAGAAGCACCGATTTTTGCACTTGATTTGTAACTTTATTCCGCTTCTAAGTGCCTTTTTTTGCATTTTGATACGTCTCTCAAAATGATTACTCTTTGCACACACAAGTATTATCTCACTCATTTGTAAAATTTCCCCTTTAATTCCATTGTAAGCATTTAATGAAATTTTTACCGCGATCAGGAGTCAGTAAGTCAGGGAGGGGTGTATCCATCTCCTCTCCTTTTCAAAGCGTACTCTTTGACGCTCGCCTTGGCCATTTTGGCGTCGTTGGGAAGCCTTTCATCAGATTTCCGTGTCAGCCATCAAATCTGAGCATTTTTTATAGCAATACGTAGCGACTAAACTAAAATTAATCAGTATACATGGAGGGTAGTGTTTTAATCCCAATTCTCTCTTCCTCCTTAGCATTCATCCAGGCCGGAGAAAAACGGAGGTGTCACACTTTCATGGGATAGATGCCCACACAGAAGTGTGTTGGACAAATTGTTTTTTGGTGGCTCATTTGCCAAAAGCTTTCTTCTATTTCACCTTCAGTTTCCCCAACAGAGAACGTCACCGACTTTCTTATCCGTCTTACATTTGCCTCCTTTGCCTCGCTAGGGTTTTACCTCCCAACTGTGGAAATGAGAATGAGAATGAATGCCCATTGAGATTAAATTTGCTTTCCGCCTACTCTAAAGACGAGCTGAGACACAGCTCTGAGGTAGAATAGAAGCGTCTAAGGCCACTGGTATGAAGCGTACACACGTCTGCCTTACTTCTGCCGCCCCTTTATCCAAAAGTAACCACAGACATGCAAACAAGCAACACTGCACATTGCAATGCTGTTCAACAGGTCTGCAACAAAAGACGTGGATGCTAAATTTTGTTTTACTACAGCATTTTAAAACAATGTATGAATGTGCGCTCGAAATCATTTATTTAAAGTCTTACTTTCAAGCTCAGAGACTTAAAAATCTTTGGAACGAAATGGGTAGACAATTTGCTCAATATTCAAGGGAAAAGTGCTTTTTTAAGACGCAAACTTAAGGATTCTATAAAAATCTGCAAGCTTAATCATTTAGGTAGTTTCGAGTTTCACAACTAAACGTGCAAAAGGTTTCCTTTGTGTAGAAAATCCTGGACGTAGCTGTCGAGGTGTGGGACGAGGACACCTCGAAAAGTCCCGATCGAATAGCCAAGTTTAGAGGCAACCTCGTCGTCGCCGAAATGCAGAACACTCCAAGCGCTTTCCACATGGCTCGAGAGGAGATTGTTTTTGCTAACAAGGCTAGGTAGTCCTATTCTCTTTAGACCACTATTAATGCCCCCTTTTTGATTCAGTCAGAGCTTCTATTTACTCTAGACACAAAATGTTTACTATCATGGGAAAAATACACTAACCTCGCATAATGTTGCAATGCAAGTAGCCCCTGGATTGAGCGCTTCAAGCGTAAACCCTCGGGGTCAGACGTCTACATGTGCATCATTTTGGTGCGGATTGCCATGTATAGGCGTCTTGCATAAGAGCTTTAAAGTTAACCGTCTGCACTACTTTTTCCATCAGGTAACAGGCTTAGCATTGGTCATAGACTCCCGCGGCACAGTCCCTTAACTAAATCCTCCTGATTTCGATTGTGTAGGCCTTAAAATAAGTGAGTCGATCCACTTATGCATGCTGTGAACTTGCGATTTGATTGCAGACTTGAGAGCTACGGCCACATCATTTGTGCGCGCTTCTACTACGGCGGTGATTGCAGTCGGAGGTGCATACCCGACCCAGAACGCTACGCCTGCGATGCTAACGGCTATAAAAAGTGCAGACGAGGTGCTGTGCAATAGAGTCTGTCTATCCTACCCACCCAATGCATGATACACGTGTTTGTATATATTTTTCTAACATGCATAATAACCTTCTTAGCAGATGGCACAGCCCATTTTAAGGAAACATGATTTTACTTATCGCTTATGCATTTGAACAACTCTATGTTCTGTTTAGTTTTACAAGGATAAAACCGAAATTGAGAGTAAATTTTTACAAATCCTGTCCACTTTACCATGGTTTAACAAATGCTCAAAAATGAACATGTTTGCGTGAGTTTGGAACCGCTAACTTAAAGTCCAACTAAAATAAATTTAAATGTAGGAGTCTAGAACATTAAAATGCAAGTAAACTTTTTTAAAACGAAGAGAGTGTGTTACATTGAATGCGTTTACTGACTGCAAAAGCATTGCGCTAATGTCTGAAATGTGTCTTTAGGTTTTTTGGGTGACGATTGTGACCTCCGAGACTACTGCCTCAATCACACATGTGCTGACTTCGCCGAGTGCAAAAATACCCTCTCCGGTTTTGAGTGCTGGTGTTTGAATTCCAAAGGTAAATAACCATAATGTTATTGGCCTAAACACCCATCATCATATTGTCGAGGCTAAATGGAGAGTGCAAGTTGGATTAGAAGTCGAAAACAATGACAATATTGGAACACGCGTAGGCTAGATGGATGTTCTTACTCTAATCAGTCATATTAAGATGTTTGTGAATCGCGATCTTAAAATGTTGAGCATGCTAATTTACACGCTGAAAACTTGCCTTGATTAATTTAAATAGATTAGGGCAAATCCAATCACGTACTCTATTTTCTTTTCACACATTCTACCATCAACAAGCTCGTCCGCATTGTCTAATATTTAGTTTAATTTAACTAGGATTTTGTAGCTTGCTACAAAACGCCCATTTTTCGCCAGACTAAAGGCAAGAATCTACCACGCTTCACCTTCTGTGATTTCTTCCTTTCCTGATTAAGCCAGTCTTTTAACCTAAAGGCCGATCCAGGATAGTTCGGTTCTGTGTGGCATGCTTTGTCCATTTCAGAACAACCTACAGAAATGCAAATTAAGTGGCTTAACGTCGGATACAGTGGAACTTTGAAATCAACGTTTCATGCGACAGTAGCTGGACATAACATTAAGACACAAAAAATTGCTTATCACTCTATACTTAACCCAAAACACTGGTCCCAACCTTTTTGAATATGGTTCATTAAGATATACAAAATCTGCTACCTATCAGTAATTTCGCTTATAACAGCTAAAATGGGTTCATTGGCCTTGGCCGTAAGTAGCGCTGTGTTCATACTTTTGGTTTGTAGCTTTAGAGACTATATTTTCCTGTTGCGTTTGTTACAGCCACTCAATTAAGTTAATGCAGAGGGATCGCAATTGCTTTATTTAGTAAGGGTGAATGAAATGGGAGTAAATTTGCAAGATTTGGAAGACCTTTCAAATAGCACACCTGTAGTTCTCTTAGGAAATTTTAACGATGGGTCTTAAGCGCAGCATAAAGTCAGTAAAAGCAAATAATGACTCTTTCTTATGTGGTAGCTGTTATAATGATGTTATGGTGGAGGAACTTTGGCTAACACTGTTTCGAGCAGGAAATTTCGATCGTTCCATTCTTCTTTCACACAGGGCCAGAATGTCATCGGGGTTACAACCCATGTGCGCCAGAATATAATACCTGCTCAAGCCATGGGACATGCTCTCCAGCTGGAGATTACAATGTTTCCTTCCAATGCACTTGCGATTCCGAATGGCGTGGTATCCGGTGCGATCAACGTGTGCCTCCCTGTTTGGTCGCCATGTTGACCAACCGAACACTTTGTCAGAACGGAGGGAAGTGTAGAGACTTATCCGGAAACGATGGCACCTACATCTGTGACTGTCCGTCAGGTTGGTGGGGAAGGCATTGCGAGAAAAAGACTGCAGTTGTCTACGTGAGTTTTACAAATATTTTGCTATCACCAACTCCATTCAATTTTGAATGTTTGTATGCAATCATCGATCGTAGATAAATGCAAACTACTTTGCAACCCGCCTTTTATGACGGGACTCTCATTTGAAACCTTCCTGCTGCCATTACAACTGTCGCTACAATGCCTTTAATGAATTGGTTTTAAAACTTTAATTAGAGCAGGTTGGATAGACTTGTCGTTATTTAAAATGAATGGATTCTAATGTCAACATGGGTTGCTTGAGCTTATGCTGAATGATAATAATAGAACGCTGAGATTCCCTTAGTCAAGCATGGCCCGTTCTGCGCTGTGCCATAAAACGCTGCTGCGTTTCTCAAAAGTTTCCCTATATTCCTATATCCCGTCTTCATTATCACCTTTTCAAATTTGTTACCATGAATGTATCTTCTGCTGGTGCAAGTAACAGTTGTTGCTTTGTACTGGTGCTTCTGTATTGTTTGTTAACATGATGCATTATTTTTAGAAATTAGTCCTTTTGGTCGTAGTCGCTGTGTGCATTTGCCTTGTTGTTCTGGCTCTCGTTGGATTCGCGCTTGATGTTTGTTGTAAAAATTTGTGAGTATTGATTTCGCATCTATTTTTTTTGCGGATATATCTAATGCTTCCAAGGTCGGTAGAGCAGCCTCGGGAGGGATGGTCTGGAACAGCCTCCCAGACTTGCATACGATTTTAACACTAGTGATAGATAATTGGTAGTATTGAGGACGCCTTTTATTTTCACTAATAGTCCAAGTTCTTGCCCTTTTGCAATTGTGATGTTAACTCATGCTTAAATAATGTCTTTTCATCTTTTGACCACCTAGTCTGCGCCGCAGAATACCAACCTTTAATTACATGAGCAGTGCCCAACTGCCGGAGCAACGGTTAAAATGTCAAAGCAGCAACAGTGGAACTGAAGATGGTTTGGAGTCCAGTGAGCCCCGCTACGTGACCTGACCATCTGTAATTTGTGCTGCATGACCTCACCTTTGGATCTTTTACGTCCCTCTGAGAATCGCTGCTCCATGCACCGGTGGCAACGGCGAACATTTTCAAAGCGCTTTCACGCATTCAAACGCCTTCATTTTGCGCTGTCTTTATATGCCCTCATCACTTGTCCCACTAATGTGTGTTCTTAGGTAGTACGATTTAACATTTTCATCGCTCGGATGAACTGCGTTGTTAAGGCAATAATTGCTTCGCATACAGGTCTATCCTCATATGGCCTTAACCCCTATGAAAACTATCTTTTGTTGGTTCCAGAGCTTCATTATCACGTTTGGGTGATCGTACAAAATGGTTTGATGCGAAAGATCGGGGAATAATCACGTCTTGAGTTAATACTAGCGAACAATTCTCACCTGCAACGCCTAATTAGTTGTGGGTACATTATTTACACCCTTAAATCAGCCTACTTAGGTCTGTTTCAGTAAACAGATCTGCATGTGGTGGGGGTGGTTTCTCCTTTCGAAAAGTGGGGCATCTAAACTGCATTAATTAATTCTCGGGGGCAGTTGCTGCATGCAAAAGTTTTACACATAAAACTGGGACTTGAGACGATCCGATAAGCGTGTTTAGATACTGTTTTGTCACTTAGTGGCAGCCTTGTCGCGCCTTTTCTGCCATAAATCAGTTCCGATTTTACACTCAAGGAAATGCTTACAATAGATAATAATATTTCTCGAACTTCCGTACTTTCTTGCATTATTTTACTTAATCAGCAAGGTTTGCACTGAAAACAGTAAGTTTTTTTCTTTTGTGACTGGGAATTTGAGTTCAGTTGAGACTGTCAAGCAACAGACGTCAATTCTTTTCGCAAATTGGTTGTTTTCACGAGCGATGGTCATGGATTCCCAGAAGGAAGTTGCAATGGCGCCCTAGGGAACACTCTTATGTTTCTGTGATGCTGAACATTTGAGTAATAAATCCACAGCAATGCACTAATCTGGTTCTCTCAGATTCTGCTCCTGAAATGTTTCAAATACTCTGTCAAAGGATAATTAATGGTATTCCGTTGTGTTGGCTTAGCCTTCACGGCTCAACCACTGGAGGAATGTGAGTTGCAGTGTAAAGCTTGCTTCTCCTCAATGTGTACGCATGGATCAAACATGATGTTATGTTAGCAGGGTTAAACAACTGTCCATTTTGTCTACTGTTGGTCTATCGATGGGGATTAATTTTAAGAAGCAGCTCAAAATTTCTGTAGTTGGCTACCGTTTTGCTCTCGTAGGACAATGCCTCAATCTTACACTGTTCAAGAAGGACGTTTTTATTTGCATGCTTGCCTTCATTGCGAAGAACTTGTACACACCCACTTCGCATTGTACGTTTAATTTGTGTGTCTTTTCTCCGCGTGTGAGCAGGGGAACAATTTATCACTTCATAGCGTTAATTGCCAATGGCAACCCATTATCGCCTCCTCAACTCAAATCCCTTTATTGTTCTCATTATTACTATCATCAGTATTAATCCATGTCTTCTCGCTCTCTCTCTCTCTCTCTCTCTCTCCGTCCTCTGCATGAATGAGCGAATGAGCAGTTACAGGGGAGGAAGAGAAAGGTGTAACGATTTCATCCAACAATTACACTAAAACGGTCTTTTCCTTCTCTACCTCCTCCCCACGCACCCCTCCTCCGACCCTCTGCGTCTCATTACCTTTCCTCCACTGTCAGGATTCACTCTTCCGGAAAGGAACGTGTAACGCGGAAAGGGGTGGTCCACATGAGATTTAGGTAGCAAGTTCATGCACCCTTCCACCCTCCCTCACCCCCACCTCCTCTTCTCTCCTCTTCCCCGCCTTTTCTCATCGTCCTAACAATAGGTGGAAAGAGAAGGTCATCCAATCTTGGGTTTATTCCGAAACGGGTGCATTGTAACAATGTTCACATACCTGCTGAGAGGTGGAATCTTTAATTCCCCACATCCCTTCATGCGTCCACCCCCCTCACCCATTCCTCTCCCCCCCTCACCATACGCGCATGTGCGCACGTGTGTGCACGCAGTTAGAGTTGGGGGAAGTGTAATAATTCTCTTTTTCTCCTCCTCCCCTTCTTCTTCTCAACTAACAGCCGCTTATTGTGCATACATTCTCAAATTATAGCACATTCTAATCTTTTACGGACAGAAAGATTTAGTTACCGTAGCCATCTCCAGCATCGCCACCTACAACGCCCATTGTTGTCACCATATTGGCTCGAATTTCCCTGCCCTATAAATGTGGCATAGTAACACGTAAACTGAGGAAAATAACTATCAAGTTGCCAATTGGATTGAATGCCAATGCTATTTTAGTCAATTTTTTTTTAATGTATTTGACTATTATCGGCACATTTCAGAGCATTCTGAACAATGCACTACTTTCGTCTTCGCCTTTCTTAGCTAGTTTTACGTGTTTTATACAAGAAATTAGCCCTGCATACCCATAAAGGCTACTCCAGATGGATAGAATTAAGTCCCTATGTAACTCTGAAGATCAGTCACAACTTGATCATAACGTTTCAAGCCTCAGAATTTATTCAGCTTTGCCAATCTTCGAAAGGCATGCAATCATAATAAATGAATGAAATGGCCACTAACACTTTGGAGAAGGAGTCCGGTCAAAATGAATGAAAGGATGGGTAACAATGCTCGTCTAATCGTCCGACTGGTAGGCGCAGATCAGAGATGTCAAGACTGAAGTCAAGTTTGCGTCCCTTTGCTGTATCATATCGCGGCAGAAAATCCACTCCGCGATAAGTTTCACGACCCACAGCACTGCAACGACGATAAAAGTACACTTGTAAAAAAAAAATGACTCCCTAAATTGAGACGTCTGACCGCGATTTAAGAAACATTTTACACGTTTCATGTATTTTTTATTCACGCATTAGACCTAATTGACAGGCCTGTAAAAACATACTACTACGTGGTTTTGTTGATCCTTGACATGGTGTTTTGATTGACGGAATTGGTGTGACGTGTGACGGTGTCGAGTATCCCTCGAAAAGGGGTCAGTGAAATAATCCATCTGCTCGCTGCATTTTCACTTCCTGTTTGGCAAAATGAGTGGAAAAAACAGTAGAATAACCGAAAAAAATAAAGCCGGATGACTCCTAGAAGGCATTATGCGCTCCATTGAAATGTCACTTTTTAAGCCATATTTTGGGCAGATCGTGTCAGATTCTGCTCCCCCCAGACCGATTGTTTATCTCCTGATTTAAGCACATAAACTAGTCTTTAACTCCTGTTAGTAGCTGATTTTCTGCTTCACATTCAGTGTACATGTTTCGCCTTTCGCATTTTGTTGTCGTCCACCTTCAAGGGAGTCTCTTTTGTTGCAGCATGACACAGAATGCTTCCTAAATAAGGTCTGTCGTGAGGATTGTTGATGAATGACAGACCAAAATTAGAAGGCAGAAGTCCATATGTTGCGGCGCCTTCATTCAGCAAATGCACTATCTTTTGCCATCTGAAGCGACTTTTGCCAGGGAAGCTGTCTATTGCATCTTTATGACAATATTAATCACCTGGACGAAACTACGCAATGACCTGACAGCCAAAAGACTTTCACAGCTTTTCTTGCATAACTTTACCCTAATCCTGCCGTCTGATTTTGAACCAGTCGACCTACAACTAACGGTGGCATCAGACGATACCCTTTTCGTGGGCAACGAAAGCTCAAATTCTGTAGAACCTTTAAGGGAGGTTACTTTTGGGATGTTCAATGAGTGTTGATGTTGCCTCGTGAGTGCTTCCTCGCGTCACCCATTGCGTTGACTTAAAAGGTTGCATTGAAAGGTTGTATTTATTTGGCTCTTAGAGTCGGTGAAGGACAACTTCAGTCGGATGGATCAAGCTCTGCCCAACCTATTTGCTTGCATGCTCTACTAGAGATTTTTTCGCCTATCCTTTAGAAACATGGATAGTGTTTCTCTACTCTCTACCGACAATATCTTTTAAGTGTTTTCGCATTAAAATGGACAATACTAAAAATTACATCAAATTTGACGAATTCGGAAGGTAAATCTGGATGATGGACCACGTGTTTCCTTCCATATGGACGGACAATGCCATCAGGCAGCAATTTGTGCAGTTATACAAAGATTGAGGCATTGAATATGCTATGGAGAAAAGTTGCCTTTCCATAACGGCAATGCTTCTGGCATAGGCATGAAAAAGCGACAGAAACATCGCCCACATCTTGGGTGGAGCCTGTGATCCGAGTCATCGCCTCAAATCCCTTGAAAGGTTAAGCATGGCATGCTTTAGTGAACCTTGGCACAGGAGACAACAATATCAAAACACTAACCAGCTTTACTACCCACCTTATCCACACCCAACAATGTCTTGTAGAGGCAAGTGCTTGTTGACATCCATTTTAAGCATGAATATTATCAAATGCAAATGGATGAGTCTCTCCTCCTTTACTTTGCGTACAAAAATTTGCTTCTTTAAACAGCAGTTGTGTGTGAGCTCCGTACCCCCTGCCTCACCGGATCCAAAAGGCAGATCCACTTCTACTGCCATTAACCAAGAGTACGAGTAAACATTTTGTTATCATTTTTACAGCAAAATAAAGAATAATTTTTAGAGTTGTCAAGTCACATACATGCGCATGCATGAAATGAGGTCTAAAAGAACCTAATGAAAGGGCATGTTAAGCCTGCGAGGCCAATCGAGGTCATTGGCATGGCAACAGCATTACAACGACTTTTTGTCAGTGTTAAAATAAATTAAGTGAACGGAGTCCACAAAGTTGTTTGTGGAGTGGTGATGGGTGTTGATTGTGGAAGGTGGGTTTAAGTGTACTCCTGGGAGGACCGCGTGCTAATCGCTTGATGAAGGGGGACACAGCAAGATTGAGGACAGGCGACAACTGGACACTTGGGACCTCTAAAATCGCAACGCCTGTTGTGTTGACTGTTGTTTGTCCTTTTTGAACCTGTGATTAAAATTGTTCCCAATTGATTCGCATTATGAAAGTAGTCAAAATTTAGTCAAAAGTCGATTTGTCATTTCTGTCAATCAATGGGTAGTATTGAATTGTGACATTTACATGGATCAACTTAGTGCATGCAAATTTGATTTCCCAAAAGGCGAAATAAATTTGTGCCATTAGAACAGTTTGATGGGTTAGAGGATGTCAGAGATTGGAAAAAAATCACCCACATTTACTGAGCCCCTTTGTTCCCCCATCAATGCATGCATTCATGCTCCACTTAGCAGTCATTTTCGTCCAACCGATACATCAACCCAACCGATTTCTCTTTCAAACAAATTATGGTTTTATAGAGGCAAAAAATCGGTTCATATTAGTGGTCGATGGGTGCATTTCAAATTGCAAAGCTATGCAATTTGAGGGAGCCAAGTGAGGTGATCGTTGGGTCATGCCAGTAGCCTGCAAAGTCGGTTCGATCGTAGCCCCTTCTTTCGTCTTCAGAGGAGTCCTGGAGAGCTTCTTATGCTCATATTTAACAAAACGGGCTTAAACAACTGTCTCGTATTTAATTATGACAGTAATTCTTAGCCCCTTAAAACGAATTAAGTAAAGCCTTAAAGACTTCCACCTCTTTAATGTCTTTGCTAGCACAGTAGTGTGATTACGATCTGCTACACATGCCATAGCAACAACTATGCAAATGTATATCTCAATCATCCAAAAATGCGGGTCAAATAATCAAATTTGTCCCCTCCATTCCCCCTGTAGCTCCAGTCACGCTGATTTGTGTCCCGTTGACATGACTTTCGAGGGTACCAGCATGCAACAGGCACCACTGACGCCCGTATTGTTAACACGTTTTTTGCAGTTTGCTGATTGAGATGGGGAGTACGTGTGAGATGGGGGCCTTAACACCATTAAAATCACCTGTGCCACACCATGCTCACTGGTTTGATATCTCCAAGTTATTAAATTTTGGGAACAGTTATTAGCGGACCCCCCACAATCCAGCTTTCCCTTGGGACGTGTTCAATTAAAATTAGTTGGCTTTACCTACTGCAGCAAAAAAAAATCCGCATCAATGAGATGTGTGGAAAAAATTTTACTCTTTGCTACACAGGAGCCCCTAGGAGTCGGGCATTAAAGACCTAATAAGTCACAAAATCATGCTCCTCCTTACCCACCTCTTCTGATCATTTACAAATCTCCCAAACTTTTGATTCTGCTTAAAAAAATAAGAGACTTAGCCAAAATTAGTACTGAAATATTCAATTGTGGTTTAATAATAGCACTGGGATTATTTACGTGTCTAGAATGGAGATTTTTATAAAATCTGAGACCAATCCCATGACTTATGGCCATACAAACAGAATGCTACACCATGGAATTGGATGTAACGATGAAGGGCTTTGCCTACTCACGCAAAACATCCCGACCCAGCAGTTGTGTGTCTGATTCACAAAAAGTGAAAGGTGTTTATTTAACAACTTGCTTTATTACAGTCATGTGGAAGGGACAAAATATCGCAGTTGTATGTACAGTTTTTTTCTCGGGGTGCCTTTTCCTCTCCTTCACCTTAGCACGAGAGGATGCGTTCAATGGAGTAGGCGAATTGGGATGCACTTGCAGCTTCTGGCGTAGTAGTCGATTTGGACAACTCCACAGTGGATGCACGTTGAGCGGATGGGAAATCGGTGGTAGAGACCGATTTAATGCTGGAACGTGTGGACAGCACTTCTTTTGGTGACTTTTTGATTACGCCAACTACAGAGGCGCCGGTGCCAACAGTGGAGATGGAATTGGGATCGTTGTGCTGTGTGTCCAAATGACGACGCAAATCGACCTTCCGTTGAAAGGCGCGAGAACAGAAGTTGCACGAGAATGGCTTAAAACCAGTGTGTTTACGGGAATGCGTAATAAGGTTTGAGGATTGACTGAACTCCTTGCCGCACAGATTGCATTTATAGGGCTTCTCACCTGCACCAAAGAGAGATCAGGACAATTAGTTTCTCCACTCCTCAGTAAACCTTCAACAAACAACTTTCTCTCCAATCTCTCATTTTCAATATGCTTACTTACATTAATGCATTACTGTATTGCCAAGAGTAAAATAAGGTTGTGTAAAGGCTTGGATAAAAAGAACTAAATTTATTCTATGATGCTGGTGTCGGGCCATTACAACTGCACTCTGCAATGGTTACGCAAACATTAAGTAAGACACAGAGGAATAGAATGGGAGTGCGCCGTGTTCTGACAAACCTCTGGTAGCACATTTTTCATATATCTTAGTAGATATCAAAGCATAAAAATTATTTTAGTAGGCAAGTGTTGCTTAATCATCCCTTCTGTCGAGTTTATCACTGCCTAAAGGTGCGTCCGCCTACAGGCTAGGATGAGGTGGTAGAGGATTTGTGATACTTCCTCACACAGGCTATAAATGACGTTCATCAGAAGGCCAAAAGAGATCACTTTCAACTACAAACAACGAAAATTGCACAATAAGCTAAGTAGGAGTCAGAATTGTATGAAGTCTTTCAAGGCGAGCTTTTGATCTCAGCACAACCGAAACCGCAGTGCTCACATCACACTCATTAATCACCACTTGTCAAGGGGTTTTGAAAAACCCTTAGAAATATTTCTTTCGGCCAATCCGACAATTGATACTGTGAAAGCAGTGTCTGTCTGTCCTCTCAGGTTTCGAGCCCCCAGCTAAGCACCCCATTTGAAAGCCACCCGCCATTTCCCCACAAGCATAAGCACAACCATCGCACAAAGAGAATGTTCATAAATAAATATATAAACAAAATAAAAAGAGATTACATTTTATGGTTTTGCATATGACAATCTGCTTATTAAGTAAATTAGCAGCACAGGATGGCCGGTTAAGACATTTGACAATATTTTTAGCTCAATCCTTACACCAAATGGATAATCAGTGAGGATTTTGGAAAGACAAAGTGGTTCACACACAATACGAATACCAACTTGCAACTTGAAAGAGGTGGCAACATCAATTAGCTTAACATCTTTCAACAGGTGATACCAATCCGAAATAAATCATATTACCTCGTCTTGATCGCATTAACAACACCAAAAGTGGACCCTCAGTGATTGATTATGAATTAGTGAGATGCCAAAACTGTCACAGTGAGGATTGTAGCACATGAAAGCTCACCTGTGTGAATGTACGTGTGCTTCTTCATATCCGATTTCTGATGAAAGCGTTTACCACAGTACTGGCAAGGATAAGGTCGTGTTCCACTGTGAATGAGGAGGTGTGTGCTCAGCGTTGATGATCTCTTAAAAGCCTTTCCACAGTGGCTGCAATGAAACGACCTCTCATTCATCGTGACGGCGCCCTCATTGACACCACCACGGCGAGTGAGCTCGCATACATCGTTTGTCCGGGAGTTCTGGAGACACGACGTTTCACAATCCAATAAATTCTTCTCTTTGTGAGACCTTAAAGAAACGGACCAAGCAAAATAACTTCGTACATATGAAGAGTGCAAAAGAAGTGTTAGAAAGTAAGTAAGTACTGCAAATGCAATGTTAATGGAGTGGAAAGCACCTTCCAGGGAATGGGATCAACAAACCTTCTTAAGTGAACAATCAGTCCATGTTGAGTTGTAAATTGTTTGGAGCACAGCCGACAGGAGACCAATTCTTCCATCACAGAAATCTCTCCACTTTGTGGTGCATTGGGATTCGGGGCGATAGCAACTGAGGTAAAGAATTGTTGAGCAAGATCTAGTGGTCCAGGGTGTAAGCCCAAAGACACCTGAGACATGGGTGATGGCTGAGGTGGTGGTGGTGGAGGAGGTGCAGGTGCAGGTGGAGGTGGACCTGGAAAAAGGAAGGGTGGTGGGATCGGTAGTGGATGCAGATGTGGTGTGTGGGTGGGAGAATCTCCTCGACGATTACGTTTTACTGGACGGAATGAGCGTTTCTGTAGCGAGGTATGACATTGGCCACCACGATTCATTACCAGCATGCCATCAGGATAGTGCCACAGACGTCCGTTCACTGGAAAAGTGCTTTCTGCTTCCAATGCCATCATTGCCCTTTGTACTAAGAAGTGAATGAAATTATTAGGAGCTATGGGAATTAGGTATATCACCATGGTAACATATCGCTCATTATTATCTACCCCCACTTTATACATGATGGGAGTGCGATTGCATTCATGAGACAGCACACTGGCCAAAAAAGTGGGCGCAAATTATTGCCTTCCTTGCATATTAAAGTTGGTTTTATCAGGAAACGCAGCCTTACTTTCGGGTTGTCCCTCGTCCGCAAAGGGCAACTCCACCTTCGGACGCGTCTCAGGACCGTTGCAATACGATTTCGTAAATAAGTTGAGCGGGTATTTTGGTCGAAACGGCGAAGCGTTCATTTGAGATATCTCATTTGTGGGGCTGCAGAGCAGGCTTGTTCCCGCTCCAGGCTTGGAAGCTTTTGGAGGAGGCAGAGTGGGCCGTGAATGACCACTGAATGAGGTTGTGAGGTCTATCGCTTCACGTAAGGAGTCAAATGCAAATGAAGAGGATGGCGAGACGAAGAAGGCGTTTTGAAGATCCGCGTACATTGGTCCCCGTAAACCTGTGTAAAGCAATAATAAAGCAGTGAGGGATGGAGATTTGCACAAAATTTGCTCAATCCTTAGATTGCCCTCCATTCCACTGGCTTGATGATGGATCCGCCTACGCGTTGCCACAAATTATTTGCTGACGTAAAGTGGGTGAGCATGGAAGAAACAAAAATCTGTCACTTGGCAAGCTGTGAGACTCCGCTGATGTGTATGCTACAAAAGGCCCAAAAACTGTGATGCTTATTTGTTTGCCTGGGTTTGACACGAAACTTTTCGAAGTGTCATCAAAGTGCACGTCAAGATGCTTCATTAACTGACACAACCGCAACATCCGTATTACTGAAAGTCCAGTATTAAAATAATGTTTGTCAATTAGAGCATCAGCTACCCTTTTGTCCACCCTTCAGGTGGTTGTCAAGACAGGTTTCCTGCTATCTCTCTACTAAATTGACAAGAAAACACTGACATTATTTGCTGGACTTTAACGACGTTTAAGACATCCCATCGGAGAGGTTTAGGGGAGACTTAAACTAGTTCCACCGTGTTGCCATTTGAGACTGAGAAATGTAGTTAGTAGGATGAAGTCCATTTGGGCCAAAGTAGATGCGAATGAAGAACGGTATGGTAGTCCTCGTTAAACACAGCAAGGCAGAAGGCAATGAGGAGGCTGATGATTATCAACGGAGGTTTTGAAGTTTTAAAGCCAATATATTTGATATCTCATTGAGCACTGTATCACCAACAAACATGGGACACAAAAATGCATGACTATACAACCACATGCATAGTAATAAGCATAAGATGAGCTTACGGAACGAATTTGGAATGCTGGAACACACGCTGAGGTCCTGAATCTCTCCAGCTTGTTCCATGCGTGTGGAGCCTGACCGACTGCTTTTACAATATCAGTACCTGCCTCAATCTACTTTTCGAGGAAATTTGAGGAGTGTATGAGCTGGACTGACATAAGGCTCTGATTGGCTACGCTGATGTTCACCCCGTGAGCAGATCTCAAGTGGGTGGGCATGTACTTAAAGGGGGAGATGTAGGTAAAGGCGAATTTTAATTGGTTGAGAGCGCATCTCCACCGTCATGCACTACCAATGAGCTGTCAATGAACCCCGTGACAAGCATGTGCGTTCATAAGGTGTACAAGCGGGTTCTTTTGAATTGTCAGCAATCATAACTCAGTAAGCAAACCCAGTTTGCCTGCGAGATGCCTTGAAAAGGCCTTAAACTGGCTTCAACAAATTGCTGTTAAGCCTAATTTGTTTTTTCTCGATAGTTAGTGCATCTGGAGCCACAGATGCGCAAAATAGTCACCGCCTTGGAGAGGTAATCATTCACGTGCTTAAGACTTTCTGATAAAAGACTCCTACTGTTATTTTAAGTTCGTCTACTACCAACTCGCATGCAATTTACTAGCCCTTTAAACGTTCAATTTTGGTTACGACGCGCAGGCATTCCTCTTTCGATGTCTTAAGCATAAAGATTTATGGAAATGTGATTTTGTGCAACCCGAAACTGCTGACACGCAAGATATACCTGGTTCACAATCACTACCTGTATTACAAAGTTTAGTTTTGTGCACTCCGACTACTAATCACCAAACAATTAGCGACACATGAATTTGAGGCATGCAACGAGGCGGATTTGTCGCCAATGTGTATAACATTGGTGTTGCATCATTGCAAGCCTTTCTGGTGTGTTAGTGTCGCCTCCTCATAAGCCAATGCCACATTATAAAAGGGCACAGTCAACAGCTTTCAGTAAAGTTAAAAAAAGTCAGCTGGAAAGATTGTTCAGTTTTGTGGCTGATTGGTACCTTTTCCCACGTTTTCAAACCCCAGGGCTTGAACGGCAGCTGCAAACCGGCTTTCACCTTTTACCTGGTTGCTAGGGCTGCTCCACTGTATAGCCGGATGGAGTAGAAGTGCGTTTGTACGTGCGCCAGCTAATAAACCACCTTTGCTACAGATTGTCGGAAAGAGTATATTCTCCTCCCACACACATGCACATACACAGAGCCGTACAAAACCAGGTGGTAGATAGGTTGTACTCACGTACGGGAAAGGCAGCGAAGGGGTCGGAGGTGGCGAGGCGATCTTTTGATTAGCAGTGTGTGCGTGTGTGGGTTGCTATGAGGCGCACTGAGGAGGGTTTTGAAATATGACAGTTTAGTTTGGAGTGGTCATCACTTAATTGTCTGGCGGGGACGATGGTCGGAGCAGTAGCCGGAAAATTTTGCAGCTGCGGTCGCGGCCACAGCCTAGTAACACATCAGGGGGTCAGTCTGTTGATTCATGTTGTCGCTATGTCGGGCTCGCAGTCACAGAGTCCTTCTATGTAGCCTTGGTGTCAATCTATTGGTTGAAGCTTTTCAAGGAAACCCTTTGCCTATTCAATTAAGTCGATTTATAAAGGGCTAACTCAAGTGTCAGGATGACAAATTTTAACAGAACAGGTTTAAAATGCATTGAGTGATTTATGTGTTCCAGTTTACTTGACAAAGCTTTGCTGTCAAAGTGAGAACAAAGACTTATTTGTGATTTAGCCGATTTGGTGTTCTGAATGAAAACCGGTTTGATGACAAGCTTTAGCACCCATTAATCTTGAGGTAATAACTTCATATGTGTGAATTGTAATTTGCTCATTAATGTACTTTTCTAATCCAGTCACCGGCTTCACATCTCACCGGTAAATGCCGTTGGATAAAAGAGCTACCTTAGAAGGTATTTTTATCTGCAATCTGAAACCTTCACTCCAGCGATGTCTCCGGTCCCCCACTTGGAAGGTATTTTGCATACTACTGTTAATGCGACCAATGGAGACCAGAACCCTTAATCGACAAGAGAGCACCAAGTTCGCGGCAGTAAAGATGACAGTAGTGTTGTGATAGACTCGATGTTAAAAGCCGTCACAAAATAAATGCTAATTCTAATGATCACATGAAAAACAGACTCGACCTTTGTATCTTCACACTTGCGCTTTATTTTATCCGAGAACTTTTGTGATAAAGGTCATTGATGAACATATTGCTTTGCTAAAAAACACTAGACCTGGTCAAGGCTGAGTGAATGTCTGCATTTGAGATATGATGATGAATGCAAACGTGGTGCCACTCCGATAATGTATGTCTTAGAGGTCAATAGAATTCCTCAGCATTTCTAAGGTCGTGCTTAGTAGGGCTTCGCATACTACAATAACAACAGTGGTCAACAAGAGTAACCAAAAACACAAAAGACAGGTTGTGTTAATTGGCTCTGTGGTGTTGGGTGCCTCTTATCCGTGACTCGTTCATCATGATCTCATTCAGCAGGAATTATTTTGCTGTTCGAGATGCCTGTATCGCCATTGAAATAAGGTGAAAATGCAGTTAGGCACAGGCATAGCATTGTAATCTACTTAGGTTGGACCAGATCGAGGTGGCATGTCGGTTGTGGAGCGCATAACGCAGTCGGCGTTGATGGCGCCTTCATCGCCTGCTTCTGAGACATGACTCAGCGTCAAACACAACTTACTAGTCTCTGGTCTAGACATTTAACCCTTTGTTTGCCTTCAATTCTGCAAAAGAACTTTTAAAGATTTGCACCAAGTTTATTTTAAATCATTGAACAAAATCGGTCTATCACTTATGTAGAATGATAGGATAAAAGGAAATATATGAGTGAGGACGTGACTTCTCCGGACCATAAAATGCGTTAAAATAGAAAAGAAATTCAAATCGGTCTGAAGAAAGAAAAACCCCTTTTTAGAACCCAACTGAGCAAGAATGTTTGAGGGCAGAAGAATGGGGCTAAATAGACATCCTTTTACCAGCTCTCGTCCACGTAGTTATAAACCGGGTCAGGTACTGCTCAGATTTGAATGGATGATTGGCGTTGAAGACAGGAGTTACTCACAAAAAGACAACTGCCTGCGCTGAAATGGCACACGGACGCTTTGTTTAAGCAAACAAAGGATGAGGAATAAAGTATTATAATAGTGGCCGTTCTGCCTCAATCGGACCGCTACACTAAAGCTGTCTTCGATTAGGGCGAGTCATTCAGGCAAAGTTGATAAAGCTGATTGAGAAGAAGCCTTAAAATGCTGCTTTCGTTTTTGGAGTCTGAAGAGCTCTTGAAGGAGAATGGTGTATGGAGTTGTAGGAAATGGTGCAAAGCGTGTAATCGGATTCGATAAAAAACGCTTATTTTTGGTGAAGTAGAGTTGCTGCCACCATAGCATTGGATTAGACGTTGGAAGAAGATTGGATTTTGAAATCTGATCCGCATCCTGGACTAGTTTCTCCTGGGATATGAAGCCAATTAGGGAGACATCCAATCAGGTTCGTCTCAATGGCAGAGAAAATATCCTCTTTTTAATGCATTATAATGTTTAACGTATGCTGATGATAGTAACAAAGTGTTCTGAAAGATTTGTTCATATTACTTAAAACCCGGTAATTGGGTGCTTTCGTAGCATCTGTTACTTACAAAAAGTCAGTAAACCTTAACAGCCCACATCGCTTACAGAGCCAATTGTGCGGCAGTAAAGGCTGTCGCACCTGTGGGACGGCAACATCTCATCATATCAGATTGTTGACTATCGAAATTGGAAAGGGTATGATAAAGTTTCGCGAAATTCTCCATGAGATTATAAACAACCACAGGGAAGGATAATGCCTCATCACCGCGCAAGAAACAGACCGCCGAGGAAGGCATACTTAAAAACACTCTTAAGTTATCATTAATCATGTGAAACCGATGTAATTTTTTTTCTCGACAAAACGTAAATGGGCAAAGTAATGCGGTTTCTGCCTCATTGTGCAACCGAAAGTTAGCAACAGAATTGTGTTTTCCAATTTTGTGGTGTTTTTTCTCCACAGCTTTATATTCGGCTTTGAAGCCTGGAGGTCAGCTTGAATTAGGAGTAGTTTAGCCGTTCAAACGTACTAGTATGTACATACCATCCCACTTATGTGCTAATCTAGTTTGTTGGTAAAGGACACTCAGTGCCTTGTCGGTGTGCCCCTAGACGATGCTGGCAACCTTATTTATGCTTGAATAAGTCGACACTCCAAACCATGCTCATGTATAACAGTATCACAGCACAATGTGACCCATATTGAGCTGTTTTTGATGTCCTTGTAGGCGGATACTAGAGTACGCTCTGAAACACAGTGCTTGTAGGGTGTGAAGGCGAATCCATTGGGCCGTCATAGGTAGTCTTACCTCTTCCTGCTTACTCAACGAGCTTACAAATCCCCAAGTACCGATTAAAGTCAATGAAGGAAAATTTACGTTGAAGAACTTTTGAGGAAGAGCTAGTGTATGCCAGGCTTTTATGCGAGTTTGGTGGAGACAACATAAATGGTGTTTATTAATTGCTGACAGAAAACGAGCAGCGACAATAGAAATAGAATAAATTCAAATTTCAGTTGCGTTACAGAAGTCCTCCGTAGTTCCACTTATCCCACACTTGGGCTCCTGAACCTATTTTGAGGGTGCATATTAGGCATCCTTTACAGACTACAATGGGCGTTTGGTATGGTTAAGGTGGTGGTCCGTCGTTAATCCGCGGAAGGATTCACGCATCGCTTAAGCACGAGTTTGCGTTAAAACCCTGCTGTTTCATCCATAAAGCAATAAAACTGCATTAAGTGTTGCATGCTGAGGCTCGAAAATTTCAGCATACACCATTAGTAATTTAAAACTGCAAAGTAACTAACAAAGAACATTTCTCGATTAAAACTTCCAACAGTTAGTTCCAGTCAAGAATCAGATCCACATTTAGTATAAGTAGTCGCTATTTTTCCCGATCGATGAAGTATATTGCATTAACCGTTCTGTACTAGAAATATTATATGTACCAGTGCAACCCCGATTAAGCATGCATCATATTATGCATATACAATTAGATGGCCATAATACTGGCAAACATTTTGACTTAAGTATGATTCTGCGATTTTTTATCGTTTGGCTTTTAAGCTAAGCGTTGTTTATCTTCGTTGCGTACTGTGGCAAGACCAGTGAATCAAGGTCATGGAGTCTGAAGCATGACTGAAGAGGTACGGTTTGCATGTTCGGCGAGGGAGGTTCTCGAACGTATTCATAGTGAAACGAGTCCGCAATCGTTAAATGTTTATGCCGTTTGCTTTTCCATCGACCCTGGATAGCCTAACTGGTGAACGCATTAAGTTTCCAAAACTGTGGGTACGGTGACTTGGTGCACTCACATTGAGGTAAAATAATTATACCATGGTTTGAAGTGCAACTCTCTTCTCAGACTACTCAAGTGGGTAGATTTTGTCGGGTACACGAAATTTCAGAAGCATGTAGAGTTTTTCATGGTGCCCTTAGTCACCACCTTGATCTGACTAAATTAACTTCTGGTGTTTTAGCTTTTTGCTTAATAAAAGCTAGGAAGAGTAGTTTCCTTCGAACAGGTCTCTGACTTTCATGTTTGGTTGCTTTAGGATGGAAAAAGAGCTGTCTGAAATCGCTGAAACCCTTCAGCGAATTGGTGGAAGGAGTAGTAATCCGCAATTTCACGAAGGGTGCTTTGAGTTTGATGTCCCGAAATTGCCAATTGAACGCACCGAAATGAAGAATCATCTCCTCTCACGTCAGCTTTCTCGGTGAGCGTTCGTTTGGATGCCTTCAACCTGCGACCCATAAAATCGTTCTGCATGCAGTGAGCTGTTGAACTTCAAGTCCAAAGACAAGCAAAGCAAAGTTAACTATTAATGTCATTGCTGTGCTTATTATTGCTATACAATCCGATATAGCTGAAAACTGGGTTTGGTTGATTGTACACAAACTTAACAGTATGCTTAGTTTCACGCTGGATTTTATTGGGAAGTAGCTTACCTATAGCTAGATTCGTTGTGGAGTTTACTTTGCTTTGCATCACTGAGGATCTTGTTAGTCACTATTGAAATGAGCCAACATCCAAGGATTATTCTTCACTGCCACAAGAATTATTCATTAGCCCTTAGCTTTCTGCGCGCTTGTCGATTTTTACTACTTATAGTCGAATTCGTTGTCCAACAACTTTGGGGAAGTCGCGTATCTTTATTTTCATGAACTGGTTTTAATTCACGGTGTTGCAAACGTGATATTTTCAGAAAATGTATTAGTTATTGATGAGTGACATTCTACTGCCCTATTATGCATTAAAGGAGCACATTTCTTTAGTTTATGGAGTCCTTCAAAAGTTGGTTTGTGAAACTTTGTAACGTTTAACATTATGGATTTTCCTCGACAGTTTCACAGCTTCACCGCTAAACCTATTCATCCATTAATCCATTCCAACTCAGCCATTTATGTATTCATTATAGGCGGAGGGTCTTATCACTATAAAACTTTTCATCATTTCTTTTTGATCAGCCCCGTACATGGTGATCACTCTTCCTGTTTTCAAACTTCTCCTAACCGGACATCTAAAGAGGTGCATTTCCATCTCTCGCCCCACCGTTTTGAAGTTTCACCAGAGCCGCTCACCAACGGCAAGTTGCTGGAGGGTCTCAAGGATGTCTCTCATCTCGCTGCACTCAATAAAACTTCCAAAGGGGACATGCAATTCAACGTCGAGGAAGAGGATGCTTTACGCACAGATAATGTTACATCTGAAGTCGACAAAGCCTCGCCGGTTCGACATCTTGTTGAATATCAACGTGTGTGCATTGGTGAAGCTAATACACCAGGGGTGAGTCCACAAATGGTACTAAAATGGATCATCATAAGTCCTAATTGCTGAAAAATGTCGTTGACTTTGCTTTTATTACCAAGGAAATGTCTTTACTAATTGCATACAGCAATTCTGATAGTATCTGCTTTTGATTTTTTGAAATATATGGAATCTATAGCATCCTAAGGCAAGAGACGAGATTGATGGCTTTGGTCGAAGGTCAGTCTACCCGACAGAAGCAATATGGGCTCAAAAGTTAATACAACTCACACAAGCAGTTGAACAACCAGATTAGTGTAGAACTTTCTTGTTACGCAAATCGTTGGTTTTGTGTAGCTGAAATTCTTCCATTAGATTATTTACTAGGACGTATCAGTACGCAATGGAATTCCATTTGTCGCCCGCATGACGATGTTGCGGATAATATGTTGATAGCCTTTACCTCTCAAATGGCGATCTTTGAGGTCAATTATTGATCGTTCCCTTCCAAAGAATTGCTGTCTTCGAGCAGTATGCCTAGCATATCACTGTATTCCTCGCTTTTGAAATGTTTTGATGCTCACACATGATAATGCAAACTGGTTTAACAATCAGAAATATCTCATGTACTTTGGTAGCTTTAGATGAACATCTCCAACCCGGAGACCAGAGGCTTTCCAAGAAGCCCATCTAATGTACTCTTTAGAAAGCATCCTCTATCATCGTGCTTCCAGACCCTATCTGGATCGCTTTGACGAGCCTAATTGTAGATGCTTACGTCAGTTCATAAGGATTGTTACCTGTCGACGTATTCGGGAAGCCCAACAGTAGAAATTATGAAGTTAAAATGATAAACGCTTGTAATATGCAATGGATCATTGGAACCGATCTCATCATGTAAAATGAATTAAAATGGAAATCAGAGAATCGTTAGTGTCGAACTGCGTCGTTGCTTGGATCTTATTCATTTTGGTAGTTGTGTTCCTGTATTCGCCTTGATTACCTGATTTACTGATAATAATTTCCTGTTTTTCTTTTGATACTTGATTCTATGAAGAAGTAGTATTTGGCAGAAGTTATGACTTAAAGGCTCTTGCAAGACTTTTAGAAAGACTCCAACTTCGTGTTTTGTTTCATTTTGTCTAAAATTTTCCTTTTGTTGTTGTGATTTTCTCCCCACAGAATGGTCCCAATTACATTGATGTTTGACGTGTTTTGTTAAATACTTTGGAGTATTTTTTTTTGGATCACCGGTGTGGAAAGGCATCTTCATTGAATGCGGGTAGATGGTAAGGTTTAGTTCAAATATTGTAGGTAAATTCAGCACCTAATGGTTACAATTCGCTGAGGGCAAGCTTTGAAACAATGGTATTGAACTACCCAAGGTAGAGAGATTTCTTAAATTCATTGGCGTACACCTGCATATGCCTAGCAGTTTTTTTTACGGATTGAAAAGCGTGTGTCAGCTTCATTAACCTCTGAATTTTGCCTGACGCCCTTTTGGTGGTACATGTGTGCGTATATACCAGCCTGCAAGGTATCATTTGCTCTGATCGCACGCTGTCCTGCTGCAAATTCGTTTTAATAGTTAAGTGTTTTAGTTGCCGACCTAGTTTAGAGGCTACCACTTAGTGCATGTGCAAATCCTCAGGGTTTTCCAGCCGGCGAAGGCGCGATACTGGGAACTAATTGTATGGCCCGAAGGTCAGACAACCCCACGGGACGTAGGATGGTGCAGTCCTCTGGTCACCCCATGATCACATTGAGAAGGGGGGAAGGTACTGAATGCTTGCATAAACGGTGACCGCATACATGTGCCTTAAATAAGTGTTTGCAGTTAGTCTGTGACTATGCTTCAGTTATTTACAGCTTTTCTGCAGAGCGTGAAGGTGAATGGCATTTTAAAAGCCAACGCTTATCTCATTCACACTTCTTTCACATTTGTAATTTGCTAGTCAACGATAGAAACTGGAATAAATATCCTTTAACATGGGTCTCGTCTTCTAATACCAGTATATCCGTAAAGAAGAGGGAGGATAATTCTGGGATAGGGCCTACTGCGGCGGTCTAAAGGCAAGATAGTCTATTGAAGGTACAATGGCGGTGTTAAGAGATGACAAATGACAAATGTGGGTACGACAGGATCTGGTTTTCATAATAGTACCTGCTGTCCGGAGTATCAGACCAAGTGGTTGTCAGGCGAATTAGTTTTTTGGAAGGGGGTGGGATTTTTTAAAATATTACAGGATCTCGGACCACTTTGTGTGTAACTAAGGTCAGGATTTGGTGTGTGGGAGGAGTAACTAATCTGAACGCATCGTTGTCAAATTGTGTCGGTGGTCGTTGTACATGCAAACTCCTGCAGAATTGCCTCTTAGAACAAACCTTACAATGTCATTTCCTTCCATCCCAAGTAATAGGAATAATTAATACTTTCAGACTGCAGATTGAGATAGTCGTGATGTACCGTATATTTTGCTCCAAGGTCACCGTTGATGATCTGCAGGAAGCCGCAGTGGCCTTGCTAAAGTCGATAGAATTGCGTGACAAGTACATGAGAGCGTCTTTGCAAAAAAACGGTCGGATTGCCAAACGCTACCTCAAACTGGCGAGTCTTGGATCCAGAGATGAGCTGCAGCCTCCAAGAGACGCTTTCTATTACACTACATCTATGTCGACAAGGGGTATGTATCATTCTATCTACAAATGACAAAAATGTGATCAAAATTTTATTAGTGGCGTTGATTTGTATGCTGGATTTGAAACGATTTGTCAAGAATATTACGTCCGTGTACCTAAGGCGCATAACTTTGGAGATTCGCTAAAATAGTTGGACACTGGAACGAGCTTCGTCTATATGCGACTGAAGGCATGATTCAGTGACCCCTTCAACTTGTCCATGCTACTGAAACCTTTTGTTAGTTTGCTGGGGAGAAGGATATTTACAGTAATCGCGCCATTTGGTTGCGGTCAGGATGTCAATACTAACTCCATAAATGTTGTTTAGTTGAGCTAGTCTGAAATTTATTTTGTTATGCCTTCCACTGTTCTACTTCTAAATATAACCTATGCAGTTGGTGTGCTACTAGGAGTCCTCTTCGAAATCGTAAGAAACCAAAGCAAAGTGATGTAGCATGAAGTACTCATGTACGGTAGAATGGTAGAAGCATCTTTTGTATGGAAGTGGCCAAAGCAAATCACGATGGTGGCCTAAGCTTCGGTTACTAAATGGAGGATGCTTAGGTGCTCACAAATTGCATTACTGGTAACAATTTAACTACAAGGTAAGGCTAAATCAAAGCCAAGTATGCGAAAAGCGTTTAAAAGTTGTGAAATCTTGAGTAAATATTCATGTGGTTGATTCGACTTAATCTTTTGATTGGCCTACGCCCCGATTTTTTCTCCCCAAATCTCTGAAATGAAAGGACACACAAGCTTGTTTTGTGAAGTTTGGCGGGCACCTACCTACCCTCTCCAATGTTTGGGTATCTCATAATAACCATCCTATGTATCATTTTGTGAATCCGAATATTGGGGTGGAATGCTCACTGACATTAGCGGGCCTTAGGCTACTGACACAACCCAAAAGTTGGCTCCTCTGGCGAAAGCACAAAGGGATCTCCTGTCAAAGTCGGGAGGTGGATAAACATTCAGAGCATTTTACATCGACTCTCTCATTCTGGGGATCCTCTTCGGCTTCTCTTTTGATAAACCTTTACGTTAATCATTACAAAGTTACCCGTATTGTAATGAAATGACTCGAATTAGTCGTGCTAGTTATTGTCCATCTTCACAATCCTACTGAATCGATGTCTTCCTCCTGCATGGCAGTCATACTCGTGGACAGAGGTGGTTACTCTTCTTTACCTATTTGTAGACGCATTGGTCAGGAAGTAATTTCATAAAACGAACAAAAGCTTGTGCAGTTTTGCTTCTGGTTCTCCTCACTACTTTGTTTCACCTTAGCACTGTCCAGTCAACTCCAGTCCTATCCAGTTAGTGGAGAAATGGTCTTTAATAACCACTGTTTTCTGCTTCCCAAAATGTGATAGCACTATTTACTGGCCTACGGCTATTGTCCAGCCTAAGTTTGAAGCTTTAATTTCTCTAGAGAGGGAATTTTATGGGAACCATTTTTAGTGTTTTGCCAAACCGAGGCGGCAATAACGCTCCTTCTCAACGTAAACTTAGTACTTCAATTTTATGGACGAGGGTATGAGTACAAAAAGTTAATCAGCTTTCTTAGGCTTTTTATACACTCCGCGTAGTAGCTGCCGTTTAATCTTCCACTTTCCCTCAGCATTGGTGGGTTCATTTGGCTCTGCAGCTGCACTATTGGTGGTGTTGATTCGCGTTTGGTTAAAGCCGCCGTCGTGGCAAAACCTATCCCAGTGCTGGCCAAATATTTTTGGCATTCTTTGTCAGTCTTTATGGCAGCTACATGCACTCTCCTTCCATCTGCTTAACATTGCCAACGTTGGAGGTAGTGATTTATGAATCGAGAGTTTTGTTGGTAGCTGACACTTAGACAGATTGGTGTTTACTTCATCGATGTGGTCATTAGGAAATGGGTATATCTCTTTGCTTTTAATTCTTTTGCCGTATTTTGGTGGGTGCGCATCAATTTGACGCTTCACTCCTCTTTCACCTTGGAGGCCTCCTTGTTTATGTTCTTCGAGGTGGCCTCAATATTGAGGGCATGCAACCCTCTTAGTGGATTCTTAAACAGTCGGAACTTGGAAATCAAGTTGAGTGGTGGTCGCTAAGATAAGTAGTATTAGAAGGCATGCGTCCATCCGTATTTCCTAACCAAAATTTACAGTTTTGTGAGCTGGATATGGGCCTCACCGAAATAAGTATAATTACAATCTTATGTAAATATTGAAAGAGGATTCTATTGTCTTCAGTGTTCTTTCAATTCTTGATGTGAACCGTGGTTAAGTTAGATCTTTGACGAGTTCAGATTTGTAACCCTTCAACTACGGCATTATGCAAGGGTCCTGGCATGGTGTGAACTGTGAATTTCAAACCCTTATTGACTGTTTGGCACTCCTGATGCAAGGGACTACTTCCTTGCATCCCGTAGGACTGGGACGCAAAATCCACGTTGACGATCCGCAGTGTTGAGGCGGCGTCTTGATATGTGGACACTCTTTAACCTCACTTGGACCATGTAAGATAATGTGTCCTCTGGGAGCATGCCAGAAAAGTGTTGTTGTTTTGGCTTTCAGAAGACCCTAAAAGTTGCTACCATTGTTCAGCACAGTTAAATACCGCCAATTTTTTTGACAAAGTTGGTACCATTTTGCTTTTCTTAATCTGATTTAAAATGTTAACCAATGTGCAAATGTGGAAGAGAGATGTTTTTGCGCTCTTAGATGTTATTTTGTATTTTTTTGCTTACACTTCTCTGTTCAATCTGTCCATTAATGGCGTTGGTTTGAGAAAGGCGATGGTGGCAAGGATGACCAAGGTTTTTAATGGAACCTTGTCAAGTTTCATTAAATTTTGGAATGCCTCAAATCTGTGTACTAGCCTATGGCGTCCCAGGGCATCGTTGAAGACCTAGAACTGATACAGTGAAGAAAGAATATCGGTTCACTAGAGCGACCCTTTTGCTACAATTGAGAGTTTGACAAACAATTGATCCAGTTCAAATGCTGCTTGGCTCATGTAACATCTCCTTTACTGAACATGAGTTTTTTTTTCATTGGTAGTGAGGTGGGATTGTTGGGACGGAAATGAAGGTAATGAACTAAAATAAACGAGTTGTTGAGGCATGCTTTGCTATGGACAAGTTTGTGTTACACTCGACTCCTTGACCCTCTTTGTCGTTTCACTTTAGCTCACACTTCAAAGTTTGAAGCTCACTTCTGTCCAAGTTTTAGCTTCAATAGGAGTCCTCTCATCTCTTCTTCTCATCTTCTTCCGAGTAATTTGCCTCTTTACAGTCTTTACTACCTTAATAATGACATTGTTTGTCGACCAAAAGGCAAACAAGTTCTCTATTTGTGCCTTGCTTGGTGCTGGTGATCCGCTTGTTTTGCAAACTGGAATTCGAGATCGAAGGTGTCTGGGATTGGGTGTGTCAAGTCCATCCACTTTCTTCGGAAATCGCATGTAACCAAGTTGCAATGACACCAGGTGCATGGTTCCGCATGAGGTCTATAGCTTTGCTTGAAAGCCTTAAGGTTGAACTAGGTCTTAAAGAGCACTGGCTTTGCTCTCTTCTCTCCTTAGATCACCCTATTCACCCTCCGGAGATAAAGGGCGATCCATTTGCTGTCAAGCATTGGCCAGAAGCACTGCCAGCTGTTGTTTGCTTCGACAAGGGAATTGCTAGGTTGGAACCTATCTCGAAAACCGGTTTCGAAAATGTTCAATTGCCTCAACTCCCTTTTTTTACACTGGAGGATTTCATTCGTGATGAAAAGACTATGCGGATGTTTGTAGCCAATGGACCCTTGAAATCCTTTGCCTATCGTCGTCTTTGCTTTCTCAGTTCAAAGTTCGACCTCCATGTACTCTTGAATGCAGGTGGTGAGACGTTGGAGCAGAAAAATGTACCGCATAGAGATTTCTACAACATTCGAAAGGTACTTTCCTCTCCCTAAAGCAAGACTTCTTGGCTAAATGGAGATTGAGGTAGGGATCTGAGATTTTTAAAATGAACGCGTTTGTTGTGTGTTTTTTAGGTGGACACCCACGTGCACGCTGCATCTTGCATGAACCAAAAGCACCTCCTACGTTTCATCAAGAAGTGCATGCGTTCGAGGGCAGATGAATTGGTATGCTTGGATAAGAATACGGGAGAACCGATTACTTTGAAGCAGGTAGGTAACGGAATAGAGCTATAGAATTCATTGAAAAGGTCCTGGCAATGCTTCGCCTGATATTTCTGCGGTCTGTCACTTTAGAGGAGTCAGTTTTAGGCTTCTCGGTAAAATAATTTATTAATACAAACGAAACAAATGTCTGTTTGTCGTCACCAACTTTGAGTGGTCATAAATTCCAACCTCCTTTGTAAGGAAATAAGAACACAATGAGCGAGGAAATAACCAGAGAAATCTCCTTATGTTGTTTCAGCTTATGGAGCAGTTGGGCATTTCTGCTTACGACATGAACATTGACAACCTCGACGTCCATGCGGTGAGAATCATTAACCAATCCCTTTGCTTTGATTCGACAACTATTTTAAACCATGAGTGTCCCAATGACTGCTGCATTGACCGCTCATTGGTCCATCTGATTTCATAAATTATTCATCTTTACTTAATTCCTATCATATGCTGTGATGTTAAGGTGATTAAAAACTTTTGTACGCATTTTTAGGATCGGAACACTTTTCATCGTTTTGACAAATTCAACGCCAAGTACAATCCCATTGGACAGAGTCAATTGAGGGAGGTCTTTTTAAAAACCGACAATTACTCCAAGGGAGCCTTCTTTGCTCATGTTTTAAAGGTAAAATAGTTTTCATAAGCTAAGTTAAAATTCCACTCAAATTTATGCAAGCTCAGCATTGTCGTTAAAACAAAATTTTTTGATGCTCTGTTGTTCATTTACCAAGTTGAGTCACCTATCACGAGGCAATTGGGTGTCACACAAAGAAAAAGCATCCCGCGAACCATCCTCACCAGTTGTCAGATTTGCATGCAATTGCTAAGCCACTTTACTGCAAATAAAACGATCTCTGGTGCTTTACTAAATATGGAGATTATTCGTATATTGATAATAAATTTAGGGACAGCAACTATGCTAGTCATCCTCTTTCCTCATTCTTAGCCGTAGAAACGCCAATCTAACACTAGATTTTGCGTCGACTCCTCTGGTCTGCGTTGCTTACACTTCAAAAATGCCAATTGATGTTTTTATGGGATATATTCGAGTAGATGGGGAGGGTCACCACCACAGATGGGGTTGGCAGTTCCATAACGAAAGGATGAGATCGGCACAAATTCAGTCGTTAATCGCTTTCCTCCAGATCACGAGAGTAGGGTAGTTACTAAAGGTAGGCGTCTGTTTCAATCCTTTGCTTGGGAGTCGTCATCGATCCCCCTACTCATAGCAATATGCGTTTCTTCCTCCCTAATAGTCAGTCTTGACAATGTAGGACTGGATTTACTTTCTGCTGCCACCGGTATGGCGTCTCTAGGTTCCCTGAGGATGGAGAATAATGCCATACTCTAATAGGCAGACTGTATGTGCTACTTTGAATCCGATGCCAGTCAATCTGGTAGAGGTACATTGGTGAATGTGCCCTTTATCCTCATCCCATAAACGGTACTTTTACTGTTTTAAACACTAATGTGTGCTGTTTTTTTGTCCTCAAATTGATAGTTATCAAGTTAGCCTAAAGAAGGTCTAACTCATAGATGGTCATTTCAGGAGGTGTTTTCAGACTTGGAGGAATCGAAGTACCAAAACGCAGAACCAAGGCTCTCCATCTACGGTCGCTCACGTCATGAGTGGGATGATCTCGCTAAGTGGGCCATAGACTTCCAAGTATATTCTCCCAACATTCGATGGGTCATACAGGTTCCTCGACTCTACGACGTCTACAAGTCCAAGAAGGCTATCGATACCTTTCAGGTTGGCTTGAAATTACTGTTGATAAAACCTTAAAACTAGAATATGGCTAAACTGTGGCAAATTTGATTACAGGATATGATCATCAATATATTTCAACCATTGTTCGAGGTGACCCTGGATCCCTCCTCCCATCCAGAGTTGCACGCCTTTCTCGAACATGTAAGTGCCTTTGACTCCGTGGACGACGAGTCCAAAGTTGACCCCATTCATTTCGACTACGGCGTGCCTACTGCGGATCAGTGGAATAGAGGGGAGAATCCTCCTTATGCCTACTACATCTTCTACATGTATGCCAATATTGCTGTCCTCAATCAACTGAGACAGTAAGTGATGGATTAGCTTTCCCATTCATGTGATGGAGTGGCATCTGCTCACACTCCTCTTCTTCATTTTGCAACTTAATGTGAAATATAAACGTGTTTAGGGGTGTACTTCTCTACTGAAAACTGTTTTAACATCTGTCTGTATTTGACTGATCTAAGGCACCGAGAAATGCATGTTTTTGCTCTTCGACCACATTGCGGAGAGGCGGGTAGTGTGAGCCATCTGATCTCTACATTCCTATTGGCTGAATCAGTCAATCACGGTCTTCTTCTAAGAAAGGCACCTGTCCTGCAATACCTCTTCTACTTGTGCCAGGTACGTTGGTAGATTAAGTGTAATTTTTTATGCTCATTTTTTGTTAAGACTGACCAAATATGAAGAAATCACGAAGTTCGTAAGATGTAAAACTGAGTGATGAGTGATTTCTGTTTACCCTCCTTATTGAAATGACGTATGTCGGGAAGTGAAGCAAAAACAATTAACTGATAATATCATAATCTTGTGGTCATTACAAGCACTGACATTATACGCAAAACTACGATCCGAAGACTAAGTGGTATTGTATTCTATCCACAGATTGGTCTAGCAATGTCGCCGCTAAGCAACAACTCACTCTTCTTAGAGTACCCTCGAAATCCTCTTAAAGATTTCCTCGCCCGCGGACTCCATGTGTCACTGTCTACAGACGATCCGTTGCAGTTTCACTTTACCAAGGAGCCTCTTATGGAGGAATACAGTATCGCTGCTCAGGTTTGGAAACTTAGCTTTACTGACATGTGTGAATTGGCGCGCAACTCCGTCCTCATCAGTGGCTTCCCCGATGTGGTTCGTTGAAAGCATATTTAATTAGCGAATTTTTTTGGCAGTCTATTCAAAAATACTCTTCTCTTGTTTGAGCTCCAATTCTGGGTCGTGATTCTCAGCACGATATTCGTTGATTTATTATAATCCAGCTGTTGTTATCGTTCTTCCCTGTTTTCCTTCTCAGTAGAACCTAAGGGATCTGTAACGTGCTCTGTTTTAGTTGGTCAAGTCCGATCTTTGCAAACCTGCTTCATTTGAAAATTTTTTGTATCTATCTTGACTTGCTTGTAACTTTGAAATCGTTCTACTTTTAAAAATAAGTAGTAATTATTTCATAATTGAGGTTAAGTCACATTGGCTTGGGTTGAACTATTGGCGAGAGGAGGAGGGCGTGGTCAGCAACGACATCACGCGAACCAACTTGCCAAACATTCGTCTTGCCTATCGTCATGAGACACTGACCCACGAGTTGCATCTTCTGGTCACCGCAGCTTTGGACGCCAATATCACTGGCGGCTTCAAGAACCCAGACCTCTGTGTTTCTCCTCTCCATGTAATCCCATCCAACCTTCTGGAAATGAACCACTTCAGGGATGGACACAGATGTGCAGATGGAGACGATGATGACAATGACATGAACTAACCGTTGTCGCTCTCTTTCCTACCTTTACTTTTGCTTTCTTCCACACATGTACAATCGTCTACTGCAACCCTTCCGTTAATGCTGATTTGATAAACTTTCTGAATTTGCAAGAATTTAATGGACTAACCTATTGATTCCTAGAATTTGTAGCTAGCTTATTAATTGATGGCTTGAATTTTTCATTCCTCATCTACTACGGAATCTTTGTTAATGGGAAAGACTTTTCTGTCAATTCAGTGCTTAATTTTCTGTTCTTTCTTTTAAGTTACTGTCTTAACACCAATTTTCATTCAAAGAATTTGTAAAGAATAAATGTGTGGTTTGCAAATATGAATCCATTTCTTAATATACTTCATAGTATCCTAAGAAGAATAACAGTAAGTCTACCCGATTCAACTGACGTTGGGGTTAAAGGCTGTAGAATTGGTTCAAAAGGTCGTGAAAGTCTCGTATTTATCGACTCTGACCTTATTTGTGAATCCAGTTTCGTCCACATGTCATTTGTTGTTGGCTTGAAGAAGGACTTGGGACGATAAATTGCTCATTTGACCTTGGACCGTGCTTTATGGTCTTCTACTGCCTTTAGGACAGTAGTCAATGGTGCCAATGGAAGTCAACCGTTTAAAAAGTTTTCGCTGCAAACCAACTATATGGTTTACGATACACAGATTACCCAACGAACGTGTATCCAATGTTGCACGTAAAGCATAGCCGGCCATTATTTTGCAGAACTCTCCGAAGTCGTTAATCTCACCACAACCTCAATACCTATTTAGCTTTATAAACATCACTTTACCTGCACAGTCAGCGTGAAACACTGACTGAGGAATCGCCCAGAGACCTCTCTATCGTATCAGATTGGGTGGGGGCTGACCTTTGTACTATGCTAGTGGTCCTTTGGAGAGGCCTTAACGCCCTGAATTCAAAGAACGTTACTGTGATACAATGTCTAAAATTTCCTTTGTGGGTGAGAGACGACAATCCAGTTCAAACAGCGTGCTCGACAATCGTCTTAGACTTTCCTCCTGTTCGTTTTCAATTACTCAGTTTAGTTTCCTAACCCCTCAGCATGTCCAACTAACCCCCACGAGCAAACCTCCTCCGGTGGAACTGGAAGCTAAGGGTTCAGGGAACAGAGAGGATGAAATCACAATTTTGTCACAAAAGTTTGTCAGTCAATATTTAAAGGTGATCACAATAGGGTACGAGAAGAGCCTTGAAAACCAAAGTGGTGCGAGTTGGCATCGCAACTTAGCAATTGAAAAGGTGTGTTTACACAACGCAGGAGGGCACATGGGTTCGTGCCGACTCTACAATCCTGGTCGCCGTGATCGTACTTGTTTGTGAGGAGTCGCACTTTTGGAGTTGAGGTAAACATTTATCCGCGCAATTCTATGCAAGCCGCATTTATAATAAAAAACTGGAGCTTTGTTTACCTTACCACCCAATCGAAAGTAACATTTCCACTTGAGTGTGCTAAACAAGATTTAAAAAGGTGAAAACTTAAAGCTTATCACCGTTTAATGTCGTACAGTGGACAATCAGGTAGGATAAACAAGTGAGTCTCGACTTTTCTATTCAAGTCGCTGCAGAAAATCGGCTCAAATTTTCTATTTACTGTGATCACCAATGTTACAATCCATGGTCTTCCACTTTTATGAAATATCAAACTTCCAGATTTACAAGCAAAGGTCTGAAACTAGCCGCATCTCAAGTCTGTTCGCCTGGTGCTATAAAAGAAGCGGCAATTCCTGCCTTGAGAAGGCACCATAGCAGGACTGCTCTTGTCTCCAATCTCAAGAACAAGTCACATATTTAAGGTAATAAGGTCACAAAGAGCCCTGCAAAAACAGCGTTTCTTTAACCAAATAATTGCCCTACCATTGGTGCTTCTATAGGGGCTTTTTACCTTAGAAAAGTCTGAGCTGTCAAGTGAGTGGACAGCCACTTAGTCTGCACTTCCCCGGCAGGCGCAGTCTTCGACGATTACTGCAACCCCTCCTACTGGAAGCTTTTGCAGCCGTAAAATCGAGTTTACATCGCTGGCAGATTTCAGTAGAATTATAAGTTACTCGATTTCAAGAAGGAATAAAAGACCAGACCAAAACCAATGACTCATTTATTATCAGAAGTCTTATGCAGGTTCCAACCCGTCTCCACACTGACTATTTCTAATACCACAAGAACTAAGTCGGTCATGTGGCAGATGCAGGATCGGATTGATGGTCTCCAAATAAAGGGAAGATGAGATTATCACATACCCACTCCAAGCAACAAATACTAAAAAAACTCTCCATTTCATCTTTTAACAAGCACGAAGACGGATGGCACAATATCTTGCAAATAGTAAGCCGTAAACAAAAAAGAGACCAATCCATACTTGCCGCAAAAGTGGCAATGTTGAGCAAACTGAAAGGCATGAATTTCACAGTACCCAACGCCATTTTCAACTGAGATTTACACTGCCATTGCAAGCCTTTAATGCCACTTTGATTTCAGGCGCACACCCGTGTATTCAGCAAGAAAGTGCGAAATCAAAAAGAATTAAAGTAGTACTAACGTTTAGAAAAAGCTTAACAAAAGTGAGATTCTCGATGAAGGACGATGTAAATTTGGAAGACACCCAGACGATTGTGAATTATGTTCAATCTTTACTCTTTCTAAAATGAAGGAAAGAGTAATGAAACCCCTAAAATTGGGTAAAAAATCATTTCAAAAACAAAAGGCAGAAAAAGATGCTTGAATCACAAGCTTCACAAAGAAGCGGTGAACCATCCGAGAAGCTCCGACCTCAAGCACACTGCTGTTTGAAAATGTTTGAGAGGTCTAAGCTGATTTGTAATTATCAAGCCCAGTTCAAGCAGAAAGTACATCAGTCCAACAAATGGAGCTTGAAGAAGATCTCAATTGACCCGTACGAGTGCATAGCCAATGGTTAGAAATGATACAACTTATCAGTATCTAAGGCCACCATAGTTTAACAATAAATGTGTTTGAGGAGAGACAAAAGCCTTCAAAGGTGATACCAACAGAATATGAGTAGAAGACGATTTGATTTTGCATCATCAATGAATCACCTACCTCCTCCGTACTGGTTTCAGTCTCCGTGGGAGAGGAGCCATGCAACCACTTTTCACGACGATCGTTTAAACTCAGCAAGGTGCTGTGCAGACCATTGACTATGGCTTGCAGTTGATCAACGGCCATTTGAGTGACGTTGTCGGTCTGAGGGGCGGAGAGAAAAAAATACTCATCAGGTAGACTAAAATTACAATAGCTCACCTCAACTAAACCACTTAAGGCTACAATAGTTAATTCGTGCTTCCCTAACAAGAATCGATTTAACAGTGACGTTTTCCAAAGTGAGTCTCATCTTGAGCTAAGCCATAAATGTCTCAAAACGACAGGAAAATAGGGAACTAAGGGGTTAGAGACAGGTGAGTAAAAGATCACAACCACGACTCAATTTCTACTTCAATAATGAAAGGTATCAACTGCATTTATCGAAGGCGACGCCCAAGTCTGGTGGACCATGACTGTAGCTTAAGGAGTTTTCCGATTTACCGTATTTGAACGCTTACACATACACCTACACCGCGTGAGATGCGTACGTTATTAGGAGTTTCAATGCACAAACAAAATGACTTAAAACAGTGATGCGATTTCACTAGCTACAAGATGATGCGATAAAGATTAGCAAGCATAGAAAGAATCATTTCTCGAGGGAGGAATACTGCGAAATTTGGTTCTAACGAAAGAGTAAGAATGCTCAAGTTGTGCACTTGTCAAAACATGCTCCACAACTACTTGCATGGAGAGCGTCAAAAAAGCTACTGTGTTCCACAAAAAAGCACAAGTATCACCTGATATGAAAACCGACATAGGTCAAAGAGAATAGCATTGTACTCAATTTGTGAGTTTCAACTTTATACAGCCTTTCATGCCCTAATCATACACTGCCCAAAAAACCATCACGCGTTCCAGTGTATGCACATAGTTCTGCTGACGAGTATGGTAAGCGATGGATAATGATTCAAGAAACCTTAGTTAAAATAAAATTATTAGGGCGCATTCATGATGTAGACGGAAATGAATCACGAAAAATGGATACAATAATTTGGCACATTGACCAAAAGATGCACCAAAAAGTGACTCAAACAAACTCCAAGTAGGCAGGCATCGCAAGTAAAGAAGCACACAATGTGTTCCGTAAGTAGGTGAATATTAATGCAACACAGCACCAATGAATGCAATAAGAACTTTTCAATCATACTAACCGATCACAATGAGAGCATATCAACCATTCCCATTACAAAGAATATCAATCTAGGCACCTCAGAGAGGAAAACGTTCAAGCCGAGGTAATAAGGACCAAGAATATTCACAACAGTGGAAAAAAATTCGAAAATAGTTTACTCGATTCCGGTAATGATTTCATCGACATAAAAGTGGCCAAACACAAATTTACCGAAAGCAAAACGCAATGAATTGAGTATCTCATTTCCCAGTGGGATGACAGAATTTTCGCTGGCGAAATTCTAGCCAGCAAGGTAAATAAGTGGAATCATTGAGAAAGGAGACAAACAAAACGACCACACTGATAGAATAGCGAGTCATAAAGCAAGTGTAAATTGTAGTTTCTTAGGGCAATGTAATTGTCCAAGGCAAGGAGAACTACCTGATGCAGTTCCTGCGTAAGATTATGGAGTTGAGAGACGGCGCCCGTGACAAATGCTTTAAAACGCGGGAAGGCAACCTCTGCTGCTTGTTTGTATTCAGTGGCGAGGTTGCTTATCGTTGAAAGCATGGCCTCCCGCCTTTCCTTAGAGGTGACTGTTGAAAGCGCCGTTAATTGATCTTGAATACCCTTGTAGGCCTTGGAAATTGTATTCTGTGCTGCCTGTACCTTCTCAGAGTTGACCAAGGCGCTTTGTAGACGCATTAGACGATCGTAGCGAGATACAACAGCCTTTCCCTCCTACAAGACGCCGATTTCAAAGATCGCTTATGTCATATATTCAAAACATTCATCACGAAATCAGATTGATTGCTTACGATGCTGGTCTTGGTATCAGGGAGAAAATATTCCAGATAACTTTCAGCAGCAGTAAGAGCACGATCAACAGTTGGACCCAACAGTTCGCCAGTAGGTCTTTTCACTGAAGGTATCACAGCCTCAAGGCGATCCAGTATCTGATGGCAGGCGAAATCATCTAGTTTAGCTGCAGCATCTACAAGTGAAGAAAGGACTTGTAAAACCTAAACTGAAGATGCCTAAAATCATAAATAAAACATGATAACTACGGAAGGAAAGTACCAGTACTTGCCAGCACCTTCGCCTTTTCCTTAAGAGCATTAGCTGCACTTTCACTAAGTTGGAAGATACTGCGAAATCTCTCGCCGCTTGAGACCCAAGTGTAGGCATCGGAAGCAGCTTTCAATGAATCGCTAATAAGTGGGTAATGACACAGACGATCAGAAAAGTTCGCCATTTCATCTACGACAAACCTCACAAACGGCAGATTCAAATCGTGAAGCCAAAGAGACAAGTGGTGCAGTTGATGAGTTTATTGGCTGAAATGTCAGTTAATTATGTGGGTCAAATAAATCTACTCAAATAAGGCAGTTTCAAAACCTCCGGAAATGACTTTGGCTGTTGAGGAAATATTAAATACATTTCGAATGACTAATATCTGATCTACGGGCGAAGTATAATGTACCATGATATCCAATAGAATTACAACCAAAATAATTAATAGAATCAGGACTTATAGGCTTTAATTGAATGCGCAGTATTTTCTTGGGTTGCTGATAATTATTAATTTGATCTTCAACTCATAGAGCATATGGGCATATCGCGAAGGAAATATATGGGCAGTCAGACAACAAAGGTACTAACTTTCATACGGCAATATTTGCCAGCCCAAAAATTTTCGGCTATATGTGTACAACACATGCCTGCCCGCTCTCATGCTCTTGAACCACGGACTTCACGAGAGGACTAGTTGCAGACGATTTATTTGACATTAGGTGCAGGGAGAATGGGTATAGGAGTACAGATGGGCCGAATAGTAGTTATCAGCCGGAGAGAGACTCCTCACCGTCCTCAAGCATGTGACTTGCGCTCGAATTCTTTTGATACCCGCCTCTCCCCTATATGGTCCACTTAAATTAGCATATGCTACAGCAGTTATCAGGACACTACGAGATTTCCAGCAAGGCTGAAGAGGACACAAATATGAGCCAAATACTGTACCGAGTGCCACCCCGTGAATGCAAAGGTCAGACAAACACCACATCGAACATCTGACACCAGGTGATCACATAAACAAGACATTACCTTGTCCTCTCCTTTTTTAGCGACATCCTCGGCCCCCACCTTGGCACACTTCCCGTGCCAACAATCTCAACATATTCGGCATTGCTAGAAATCACCCACTGGCCGGCCGCGTCAGTCAACAACTACCATGAGACTGTAGAACGGTTATTAGCCGCCTCAGCAGCTTCAACTGGATCTGGACTTGTTTGGTCTAGGATCAGAAATCAGAACCATCAATTGCTCCCAGAGCCGCAAGTTAGGCACTAATCTGAACAGATGCTTAAAAGGGAAGACGCAATCAAGCACAATCCTGTTTGAAAATGAATCAGAGGTAGTGCCCTTCCTGACGTCTATACGCGGATGTTGTAGGGAGAATTTAGATTCAAAACCTTCCCCGATGTTTCGCAGCGGTGTCGCTTCAGAAACAAATTGAAGCCAAAAGCGGATGTTATTTTCAGCCCTTCTGTCATGATTTATTAAAAGTCTCCTGCTTAAAGTAGTCATTTCTCCTCAGTACCGGAAAGTTAGTTACTACACAGCAATGAATCCTAGAATAGAAGTCGTGAAAATGTCAAGCTCGCTTTTCACTGCCTTGACACTTCTAATTGGGTGGAAGGCATTAATGCATTAAAAGCATGAATCCTACATAGACAAGAAGAGATTTGACCTCAACCTAATCCGAAGGGGAATAACAAAGTCACCGCCAGACATTAGACTGTCATAAAAAGTATTGCAGTTCCCTAAATGAATTATTTGGGTGAGGAGTAATAAAATGCTCCAAACTTTATTATGTGGGAGCAGAATTGTACCCTTCAAACAAGCAAATATTAGGCGTTTTTACTTTCTTACGACGAAATTGACGTTGTTTGCCGTATGCGCCGAACACATGAACTCTACTGTACCGTATTGGCCTAAATGCTAGCATATCAATAAAAGTCACCATAAACACATAACCAAAATAGATTTTCAAGCAGGCATTATATTAACATGTCCTGCATATGTATTCGAACCCCACCGTAGTACACGTATGAATGAAGGTCGCTTATGAGAGCATATTGCTCCTGTCAGATTGATTGGCCTTTTAGCCATACTATCGACTAAATCTTAGGGTTTTCTGCCTAAACAAATGTAATCAACCAAGTATTATGCTTTCCAATGCACAAAAGCAGCTTCAAAATGCCACATTGGTGGAAGTAGAAAGCAATCTGGAGTTTGAACAATTATATTCCTAAACGTCAGCGCCTATGATATATTTTTCGGTGCAACCGAGGCGAATATACTTTGAAGAGGGTGTTGCCAACTTCACGAAAACAGTAGAGCTGAGTTTAAAGTCTGCCTCTGGTATCTACCACAGTCACTTTTTCCCCAGGCAGGTTTATTGCATCTGCAGTGTTATCTGTAATGCTTTGTTTATGCGACTATCTGAAGTTTGGCGGTCACTGTAGGACTTGTCTGGGCCCTGTATACGTGGGCTGGCCTTCGGACCACGCTCAGGCCCCATTTCTCCTACTGCTTCCGGAATACATGTATTCAACCTCACTTATGTCTTCTACTACCCCATTTGGAGTCTCGGGACGCTACACTGGTGGCAGCAGAAATTGAATCCGACATCTTTTTAACGACTTTTAAGTATAAGTTGCTTTTGAAAGCGACATAGTGTGTGGGAAAATGTGTTGCCCCACAGACATCACTGTCCTACTAACATCCTACGTTTGCCTTGCTAAACTTTGCCAATTAGCCGACTGACTTCCGGAAAAGAACAGTACGAACAAACCGAAGGGCAACGGTTCGATCGGATGATGCACTGGT